CTAAATTCTAGAGAGTCTTGCTTCTAAATAACAATAAAACAACAAAAACTGTACGAGACGAGAGAGAAGGGTCGATCAAAAACATAAGTCTAGAGGGGTTTGAAGTCGGCAATTTTTCCACAAAACTGCACGAGAAATTGTTATTCGATTATAAGCCGAAATTGTGGAAAAATTAGCGGCTGATTTATTTTTCTCCTAGATCTGGTATAATTTAATCAAGAAAGCATAAATTTATGTAGTATAAATCATACAATAAACTATTTGGGTTCAATTTCTGACTCTTCCATGAAGAGTTTGCCGAAAGTAAGGATCAAAATAGGGAAAAGTTTTGCTAGTAAATACACAAATTTAATAATTGCATGTTATTAAGAATTAGTTTCTCGTTTAAGTTCCGTTATTTTCACTTTCAAGATTTTTGTTTAACTTTTTCATTATAGAGTTTTAATAGATTTCGTCCGTAATATATACTTGGAAATAAAATTTGTTGACTTTTTCGTATAATACTTATTTGGGTTCAAATGATACATTTAATCTTTATATTTTTTCAGTCCATTGGACATTACAAATATATGTTTAATTTCTATACTGCTGAATTAGTGAAATGCATAAAGTTTTGGGCATTCATCTGTTCTTTTAAAGTACAAACTGATTTAATAATTTGATAACTCCTGAAACTCAAATGTAGCTCAGGGTCTGTTCACTTATTACGTTACGCAAAAAAACTTTTTTCACCCCCCTCCCTTCTTGTTACAATATGTTACAACTCACAACCCCCCCCCCCCCCCCCTGAACGTTCATAATTTATTTTATCATTAAAAAGGTGGAAAATTTAAAAAAAAACAGACGACAATTAGAACGTTACATACTTCTTGACACCCCCTATGTTACCTTTTGTTACAATTTTTCAAACCCCCCCCCCCCCTAAATTGAGAACGTAATAAGTGAACGGCCCCTCAGCTTGGTTCTAAATATTATCATTTGTCAAAAATTGCAATATCTGCCAGAGCTGTCACAATCAGGGTTTTACTCTGATCTTTTCTAACCCAGGTACTTCTATACTCAATTTTAAATTCAATAGATTCACCCTGATATTTTTTAAAAAATTCTACCCAGTTAGAATTGATGATAGATATATGAAAGAAACAAATAAAAATTGAAGACAAATGCCCTGGATTAAAATTATTCATAAAACATTATAAGAAGAGCTTCTTTCATTTCACTAGAAGTTTTCATGATGCACATCAACTTTTCCACTTTTAGGACGTTTCGAAATAGAAGTTTGAGTTTAGACTAGCAGAACACGCAACGTCTAATACTGTGTAGCTTGTCAGTAACAATGGTGCTTATTTTTAAGTATTTCAATAGACAAGGGTTTATCCATCAAACTATATACGGTTAAAATTGATTACCTTAGAATAGTTTTTTACGCATTTTTAACGTATAGGTACGTCGAACATGCAATCAAACACATCAAAAAGCATAGTCGTCTGAGAGAAAAGGTTACTCACCTTTTTGGGTTAGCAAGTATTGTTTGTAAATGTAGGAAGTCTTTATCCTTACCTTCAAATAAATCTACAATAAAAAATTACAAAAAATGGCAAAAAAGGAACTATATCGTGTATAACACACGGATGATGTACATGCAAAAACACGCAAGTTTTAAATCTGACATTGTATATGCTGCCAGGAATGTTATTTCAGTTACCGTTTTTTTTTCTAAAACAAGTTGCCACCTAAAATAAGTCTCAAAACATCTTTCACTTTTTAATCTTCAAGTGAATATTTTAAAAAGATTAGTGATCCAGAAATTGAAATTCCATTCGAGTAGATTATATATGAATTTTATCGATCCATAAATCGTAAGAAAGCAACTATATTGGTTCATGATTGTACCATCAGAACATTAAATCATAAGGATTGCATTATGGGATGCTCTAAAATCTGGACGAGCAATATTTTTGACGTAGCAAACCTTAAAAAAATAAAATAAATTTTTTTGCTGTAGTTTCTTCAATATTTCATATAGTCGGTATAATCTAATAAAATGCGCTGAAAACGTGACTAATAAGAGAGCCGTCATTATGCTCCCAGTATTCTCGAAATGTATGGATTCTTTCTGTTTTTAACAGCAGACTGCTTTTTATTTGAACTTTGACTTAAATTTGGTGTACTTTGAGTATATACTTTTGTTCTACCAACGCGTGACTTATGTTTTGTTTCAAATGATTGATTTTATGACGTGAACTTCCTAGAAATGCAAAAATAACAAAACAAAGCTTAAATTTTACAAAACAATATGTTTAATGTACAAAAACTCTTCAAAATAATATAAAATTTGTTGAACTCATGATTTGATTCCAAATTCACACATTTAAAAATTAATTACTAAGAGAACTAAATAACGTCGAGCACATACTCAACATTGAAAAGGGTAAAACATTACTAAAGTAAAAGTACAAATAAATTTCCTGAAAATGTGTTTTACAAATGCGAAAATGTTACATGAATTTGTCGTATCCTGAATACATGCACTTGTTTTATTTTGAATGGGTCAACATTTAAAGGAGTCTTCCATGAATAACCTTGAATTGTTTGAAATAACTTTTTAAATTATTTGAATGTCGAAGTTAACTCAAAGCCGTCGCTTAATTCACATAAAACTTACTCTCGCTGTAAAATTTTCAAGCAGCATTTCTTTAGTTATTTCATGTCATCAACATCAAGTCTCGATAATTGATGTTTTCTAAAGATTAGAATAAAAATTATTGACTTAAGATTCTCATGTCAAAATAAATTTAATTGTTGTATGACATAAATTTGAAAATGAAAATGATAGTCATAATAACTTAGAAATGTGCAATATGCTTAAATATATATTAGAATGAATAAAAAATATTTATTTAAATGCTCAGGTTTTCTTGCGTGACAATAAATTTATATTACGATTAGTCTGGTCAATCGTTCTGTTGACAAACTTGATACCATTTACATAATTTTTCACTAATTTATTGCCTTTTGATATAATAGGCAGCTACAAACAACAGGTAGGAAAGCAATAAAAGGAGTATAGTATCAAATGAGGGTCGTCTACTTTCGTATTCACACCATTTATTACTTTTTGTTTAGATAGATTATACAAAGTTTTGAAATATGTCAATTTATTGGGTTTGATCAAAATTAGTAAGATATATCTTGTAGATATTTTGAAGGCAAGTAGGCAGTATTATATTCAGGAAAATAAATTATCAACATTTTTTGCTAACGATAAATGGTGTGAATATAATTTTATAAATTATGGCATGCCTATAAAAAAATAATTGCGTTTCTAACAAGTAAATGTTGCTATTAATGTGACATTTTGTTGCATTTTCAATAGACGATGCCTTAGGAAATTTTTTTCCCTTATCAAAAACTAATAATAATGAAAATTTAAACAGTGACGGAAAAGTTCAAAGAGAGTTTCACATAAAACGATAAGACCTGAATGTAAAACTATTACATTTTTCTCATGACTCATGAGAAATATTAACGACCAAATATAAACTTTAATATTTTTGTTTTAGTGGCAATGAAATATGAAAAACTTGGATTCATCACAGCAATATACTCTGAAACGAATTAAAGTAATAAAACACTACTTTTTATTAATTTTATATTTTAGGCTTTTTTTTATTCTGCTAATTAGTTATTGAAATTTCCTTAGATCAAATATTTGTATTTGTCCCAATCAACTTCAATGAATAATTTTTTTTTCAATCCTATTATAATATATTATTTAGATATTATAAATCTAGTGCGAATTCAGAGTGAAAACAAGTTCGTTTTAGGAAAATCTATCAGTGTAATTTCTGTGTCTTGATACCTTAATATCGAATTTATGAGATTCTATCAAACACAGAATTTAGTTTCTTAAAGAACTACCGATTTGGCATTAATATGATTTTTTTCAATATCTAGAAATGGCATAATTATGGTGTAGAAAGTAGATTGCCGTAATTTTGAGGATGCAACTCTATAGTAATATGTTTAGCACCATCACTCAAATTTCTACACTGAACAGATAAATGTTTAAGAGAAATAAATAAGGAAATATTGTTTTCACTTTAAATTCACTCGAAATAATTCTAAAACCTTATAAATAGTAGATTTAAGTTGTAATCTATAATATATACATTCTTTACAGTTTTTCAATATATTTTTACATCATGATATTTTTTTGATTAAAAGTTCAAATATTAATCAGCGCATTTATGCACAATATCTCTCAAATAATCCGAGCAACACATCATGACAATGGTAATCGCATGGCAGTCATGTTGCAACCATGCAATTGTCATTACTATATATTATGCTGCTTGGATGATCAAGCTTAAATATTTTGTCGTGATTTAGATTTTTTTCCATGTGATCATCGTCATATTAAGTTCATTCCTCAGATTTTAAAAACAAAATCATCTTTTTTGTCGCAAAATTTACATTTAAACCTTAATTTCAGATTTCTAGCTATTCGGCATTTTTTCCAATTCAGATTCCCACAGCGAAACAATTATCAATTATTTCCATAAAGTCAAATTAAGTTTTGCATGCTATAATTTGATTAGTTCAATTTCTTTGCATATTTACTCGATCTACGAGATGCAAGTTTCGATTATAGCTTAAGCTTTCAAATTTGAATTTTATCACCAGAAATAATTGTTACAATAATGTTGACTGATTTTTTAAATTACACATTTTTATATGCTTGTATTATTGTGCATGTGGCTAAAGACAATTAGAGAAAATTGAAAACTAAAGCTGTTATCGTAAAGCCGTAGCTGAATAAAAACAATGCTGCACCATTGAATAAATTTAAACAATTTATCAAATTTTCGCCAATTTAAAGTTTAAACAAAAAAGTTTGCATCTTTGTGCATTAAAATAAATTATTGTTTGCATGAATTTTTACTTTGAAATAAATATCAATAAGAACAAGCGAGGAATCTGTACTGTTTTAGTAAATTTTACCAAACCAATCCTTCATTAATACTTGATGATTCAGAGAAATTTCCTGATGACATAAATTCAGGCGATCCAGATCTTTCTGACTGATTTGGATTATTTGTGGGTATATTTGGACCATTTGGCTGACTTAAAAATGCTTCAGATGCCATACCATTAAACTCATTAATCATTGGCATTGCGTTAGGATGATCTAATGGACCTAATTGGATTAAAGAGAAAAGTGTTAATGTATATATGAAAAGTTTCCAGTTTACACCTATTTATCACATCAAAATGGAAAGAAACTTTAAATGAATTGAGTCATTAAGCACAATGGAATTAGTAACATTGTTGTAAAGTTATTTTATTGAGTCAGCGATTTATTTTGCATACAAATAAATATGAATTGGTCAATTAGAAAATAAAGTTTCTTGATTGAAATAGATAAATCGTGTTAGTAAAGCATACCTCCTGTATTGAAAGGCATTCCAGGTGGATGTCCAGCAAAAAAGGGTGAATCGTGTGGATGAAATGGTGGAGCACCGTAGCCAAAATCAAATTTGTCACTAGCAAAATATGGAAAACCTGACTCATCAAGTCCACCAGGCGATAGATTCATTGGAAATCCTCTCATTTTTCGAGATCCACCAAAGAAAGGTCCTCCACGTCCCATACTTGTAAGCTGTTTCAGTCTACGTTCTTTCGATCTTTTATTTTGGAACCAGACCTGTAAATGCATTATAATTTAACGTTAAATAAAACATTACAATTTACACTTTTTTTGCGTACAGAATATTTGTGTGACATTCAAGTGGTGCTAAATTAGCGAAATTACGTAATAACATAATTTTATTTTTCAACTATATTTTACAAAGTTTCTTCCTCTGAGTCAAGAAAGGAGATAAAAATATGAAAGAATTCAAATTTAAGATCAGAAATTCATGTTTAACAAAACTTATAAAAAGTCAATAAAAAACGAATTTTATTGCATTTGGCCACTTGAGCGGTGAATGCTCTTTTAACTTCTCTTCATGCTTCAATAACACAATGGGCAGAACTGTAAATTATGTAGAGTATATGTTCGACATTTTTATTGTCGCATTATTTATAAGTGTAATTTTATGCTTATTTTTTTAAACCTTTCTTTAGTTTGATCATAAAAAAATTTGTTTTCTCTTCTAGATCCATATACATATAGAAAGAAATTCATTCAATAAGAGACGAAAGAGATTCTAAAGAAGAATTAAAGCTAATACCAATAATAAAAACAAAAACTTCGTGCAGGTGATAATCTTCAATAATTAAGTCTGTAAACGCATATAAAAATCTACCTTTTCTCAAAACTCGTAAAATATTCTAATGAATATTTCGTATGACATATAATGAGCAAATAAATAATAAATTTATTTTCAAAATTTTCAATAAAAGACATTTCTTGAGGTAGCCACAGAAGAAAATGCCGTAGAAAAACAAGTTGTTTCGAGAATAAAAATTACCGGCTAAAATCAAAAGGAAATGATAATTTTTAACAGTTTACGTAGATTTTCGAACTCTTTTTGATCCATAACAGATAGTTTTTGATGCTTTTAAGGACATGTATGACTACGAATTTATTTAGTCATCGTAAATTCTCTTTCACAAGAATGCAAAAAACATTTTACTTTTATTATTTAAAATTTTATGCACATTATATATGCGTTAAAAATCCCATATATGCACACAGTTATATTTCATATGTACAAAATTCGAATGCGATCTCACTATTTATCTTAACCCAACAACATTTTTACTCTTTTTTTTAAGGTGAATGCAGTTGAAAACAAATTGGTCTTTTTTTTTCAAATAAAAATATTTTTGATGGAAGAAAAAAAAGTTATGAACATGCAAAACATTATGTTATAGAGTGTAAAATGCTACGCTACATGAAGCCTCATGAGAAGGCGGTGTCGACAGTTTGACGTTTTCTCTTTAAAGTATTTTTTTATGTATTCAGTAAGAGAATAGAACGATTATGTTCATTCGGTATGAAAAAGAAAAGACCCCCGTTGATTTTTCTGTTCATTCTTAAAATCTCATTTTGGAGAATTTTATTGGTAGAAACCTTATTGTTTATATACATATTCTAAACTTGAAAGATAGTAGATTATGGTTATCTTGAGTTTAGTTTGAGGCGCTTATTCTTACTGCAAATGTAGCGCTTTAGACTCTTTATACAAATTCTTTAAATAATTCAAGGTGCACCAACTTCGTTTAAATTTGCTGTGAATGAATGCAATGAATTAAAGGACAAAAAGTTGCCACAATCAAAGACTGAAAAAAATCGACCTTTAGCTTCGGAAAACTAGCACAATTTGTAATAAAACTTTAATTTTGAGAAAAGATTTCAATTTCTTTTAAAATTATGTTTGAAATCATTTAAAATCATCCTCAATTTTAAAAGATTTTGACTTTTCTGAAGGAAATGGAAAAATATCATTTTAAATGCTGTAAACATGTTAAAATTACATATATTTCGATTTTACATTTTTTTATTGTGATTCCCAAGTTGTTTCTTTTTTCAATATGCTTTTCAGCAAATTTCAACGAAGTTGGTGCCACTTGAAATAATTTTGATATAATTTTTAATTTAAAAGAAGAAATTTTTTTAAGTTTTTTGGATTTTAAAACGAATATTTAATTTAAAAGTGATTTTTGATCAAAAAAAATTGGTTGAACAAAAAATATAAAGGTTCTTAGCTGGTTTTTCAATGAATTATTATACTGAGAAAATAAAGTCTACATTTTAATGTTAAATAAAAAATCTTGAGATTTAAAAGATTCATCAAATCTCAAAACTTCTCAAACAAATGCAGGTTAGATACAAATAAGGTATCTATATGCAAGTGGTTCGGATCCCACTACAAACTGTAAGGGTGTGATAAAATAGATTCTTTACAAATTGAATCGCAGTGCTTCCAGCTGAAAGGCTGGGCCCTTCACACATTATTATTAAGATGCAAATAATATTAAAAGATCCCTATTTCTTTAAAGACCCTAGATATCTAAGCTAGCACAATAATATTAAAGACACATTATTCCTAAGTTTAAAAATCTTAATGGGCCCCGACGAAAAAAAATTATTCGTGAGTGACGCTTTAAAATCTTAAATATCTCCGAAACCACAATATTGACAAATTTAAAAGTTATTTTATCTTGTAGGAAACAAAAATTTCTATCTTTTGACATACAACTTACATCTAATAAATTGTCCCCGAAACATACTTAAATGAACAAAATTAAGTTAAAAAAATTTTAACGGCTTTAAATTTTTTGAATTTTTTCTGTCGTAAGATGTTTGTTTACAAACAAAAATTGAAATGAAATTTAAAAAATCATGAAAATATCACTCAATAATGATGTTAAAGCTCTTAAAATAAGCAGAATAGCTAATGTACCATCTACTTTTCGTAATCATATCATAATATTTGGGAATAATGATTGAATAATTAAGATATTTGAGAATTTAATTTTTGATGTTTTTTAAGATAGTGTTAGTGAATTTCAAATTTAATTTTTCCGTTGAGCAATAATCCTAGACAATCGTCTAGGCCCAATAGAATTACAGATAAACTAATTATTAAAATTTAATAACTCTATATAACCTTTAACCGAAGATTGCCAATGTCCTTTACTCGTACATATGTCATTTCACGAAACTATGAAGTTATCCCTCAAATTATATCACACATCTTATTAATTTTTACAAGATTCAAACTATAAATCATTTAATCAAATTCATCATTATGAATATTTTCAACACATCATTTAAATGTGGGATACAGGATATGGTAAATTAGCTGACTTACTTCTAGTACTTCTTTTATTGATACAATTATTTTTACGGTTTAATGCAAAAAGCATAAAATATCGAGTTATTTCTTTTGTAAGGTAAGAATACAAAGAAATATATTTTATTTTATATTTTTCTCTCTACGCTTTTCACCGAAGGAAACCTACAATTTTTTTAGGTGTTTCATCCACTAACCAAAAGACCAACCGTAGCAATGGTAAAAACTGAAAATCATTCAGGATGAAATAAACCGAAATGATTTTTGTCTTAAAATATAAGAAGGTAATTTTTTGCATTGTCATGAAAATATAATTAGCTTTTTAAAAGATCTACGGTTATATGTATGCATGGAGTCAGATGTATTGCCTTATTACGGAATAAATAAAGGCAATCGGCAAATGAAAAAAGTTGATAGTAAACATATATTATCTAATATTAATGATTATTTTACTTCAAAAATGATACTTCTGTACTGCTACATTGTACATGTAATAGTAGGTATTGTAGCTACGTTAACAAAGAAAAAAACTGCTGCAATATGTATCGACCATGCTCAATTTTTTTTTGTATTCCATATTTAAATTTCTTATTTTAAGGATCTTCAAGATAAGCCAGTTTGCCGATTAAACTTGTTTATATACCAACAAAAAATGCATATCCGAGAATTATTTCATCGAGCCATATCCATTATTTTAAAGACTCATATATACACAAGAACCGAAAGATCCAATGAATTTTATTTCTCTGCAATATTTCTTTGTATTTATGCTAGCTTGCAAGTAAATATATAAAGAAAAGTGCTGTTGAACGTTAGGCTGTATAAAATATTTACAAGAGTAAAAATAAAGAAAGAAAAGAAAGAAATTATTATTACTATTGTTCCTCATCTTTTATTCGAGAGAACCAGAGAGCGACCACCTCCAGTGAAATTGTTATGCTTTCACAACGATATGTATATATGAAAATAATATGATTAATAATGCCTCCGTTCTTTTGGAGTGTGGAAACAAGAAAGAAGCAATTTGAATAGAATGAACATAGTGCTACAATTTTCCATTTATACTTTTATTCCTCACCTCAAAATACAATACTGCCAACATGTACACAAAACATTTATATTTTCTATTCCTATTCATTTGTACTTTACTTTAATAACTTACTAGTTAGATCTTCTTGAAATAGATCCAGTAAAACTTTGGCGTCTGAATTTTTGCTGGATATTTAGCACAATTGTTATAAACAAGGGTACAGGAAACTGGATGTATGTTAAATTGTCTGACAGCACATATTGTGTATATCACAATATTTGCAAACTTTTTGAGAGTTCATGCATTTACAAGAAATATACAACTAGACATAAACCATTAAGCACATAAATAAATTCGGATACAGACGTTGTACGATATGTGCAAAAAAATCTCAGAGCTGAAAATGCTAATATTGTTCAAGTTAATATTTTACTTCATTTTCGATTCATTTTGAAATTCTTATGAAGCCATAAGCAAAAGGGTTTATTTATTTATGACGTTCAGGATTTTAAACGAAAAAGCATTTGAGGCCTCATTATAGAAGATATCCATTTTAAGAGACATTATTTATAAATGACCCACAGAGAACCTCTGTGTTTTTAATTCTTCCTGCTCGAATGATTAACTCTTTATGCTGCATGATATAGAATTTTAAACGATGCATTTAAAGATTTTGGTGTCTGCCATAACTTATCTTTAAAATTCATCACATAATTTATATTAAATTTTTTTTTCGCATGAGTCTATATGCAAATATCTCATTATGCTTTAAAGACATTATTTGCAAAACATCATTAGAAATTAAATTAATTGAGGAACGACGAGTAATGAATGAAATATTCAACTTACTTTGAAGAATATTTGAAAGAGCAAAGAGTGTATGTCTTAATCGTGAATGACATAAAAATAAAACGGTTACTTATTACAGACGCATATGAATAATTATCCTGAAATTTTTCAAAAAATTGATTCGTTCAACACTCCTTGCTTCAGTGCTTACAGCATTCAAAGACAGAGAACATCAAAAAGGAACAGTTTCATTCTGTAAAATGACAATCAAAACAAACTTTAAACATCTTTGAGTAGCAGGTGACCTAGTCTTAACCATAATATGGTTAAATAACATGCAATATGATACAATCGACGATAATTTCAGAGAAATTTGTCGGGGTGTCAAAAATACTACTGACACATGTACCGATAATATGTATCTCAAGCATGAGTAGATGATATGAGCTTGATGTGTTTTAAACGAGAAATTTTCAAACTTAATTTTGTTTCAGAAATAAAAAAAATCTCATTAGACTCTTTTTAGAGAATAGTCGACTAAGAGTCATAAACATGATTGATGTATTATATTTCCATGTTTATTGCAAAGAATTCATCAAGAACATTTTGAGATGAATGTTAAAAAGCATCTTAAATGATCAATTTGTAAATGTTAGAGTTAAATTAATTTTTTCAAAAAAAAAAAGATGAAGTTTAATTTCATTTAACTTTAAATGTAACTTTACAGTAGTCTCTTTCTTTTTACTGTTTAATGTTGTTTATTGTGAAGGAAACTTTATGTGTATACATATGTGCTCAATGGACAATCGGATCTATCCAATCTCGCCTTTATGAGAAAACGTACATATTGCGGTCATACAAAAATCGTTTTTCATCTTTATTCGTGTTCATTTTATCATCTACAGATGTTGTATCTTCAATACAAGATTTATAATGAGGCATGAAAAATTGAATGTTCAGTTTTTAAAATACACTTTACATTGAATGATGAGAATCGTAAAGAACTGCATACAAATGCAGTAAAAAATGTCTTAAGAGGTCAAAAAATATTTTTAATGTTTTTATACGTTTCTTATATCCATATATAAATAAGGGAATTTGAACTGTATAGCGTTACTTGCAAGTGTTGAGATCGTTATAAAATCAAGATATAAAATTATTTAGACATACATTCTTTTGCAGCTTAGCTCAACCGTCAAAGATTTTTCAAAAATTATTGCATATCAACAAACAGGTTCTTAGAGTCAGAAATTATCTGTTTCTCATTCATTGGTAGTTTCATACAAATTTCCAATAAAACCATTCTGACCACAAAGGTATTTTTTTGATGTTTTTTTATCGACTTTTATGTTTAATTTTTAACGACTTTAAGAATTTTTTTAAGAGATCTTGGGAATTTTGTTCAGAACGCATCAGTAAAGAACATCCTTGACGATTATAGTTGTGTGAAAGTAGAAAATTGCTACTAAACTGTGATAGTCCCTTAGAGTCCTATAATTATTATATTTTGTTGGCTTCCTGGAAGCACATATAGCTAGCGATATCCAGAATAAAAGAAAGAAACAATGAATATTATAAATAGAGAAACCACGATCATCATCAATTTTAACGCGAATTTTTTAGAAACCCATAAAATGAATAATGATGATCTGTCTAAAAAGGAAATTCTGTTTGTATGGGCGAATATATTTCATAACATTAATATATTTTTTTTGGAAGAATATAAACTTTTTTATATATTTTTTTCAAATATATTTTAACACAAATCTTGATGATTTATGAAAAAAAAAATATCTTATGTATTCAAGTATTGAAACATCTATTAAAATTCATTTCGAATTCTTTAATAAGTAAACAGGCAAGAGATTATCGTCATTATGATCTTCATGGTGTTCTGACATAACCCAAAATACTTGAAAAGGTGATAAAAATTTCAGAAGAATACATTTTTTCTAAATTTGTCGGAGATATTGATATTAAGCACGTGCTCAGCAGATTAAACAGTTGAAAATATGATAATCAATCGGCTTTATTACTACACAACAAAATAGTGGTAATATTAATCATCATATTGTATTTACTTTTCACACAAATATTATTCACGAGAAAATTAATAGGTTTTAAATCCTACCTGTATCACTCTCATTGGTAAACCAGTTTCTTTTGCTAATTGCTCTCGAATATGCCGCGTTGGTTTCGGCGTTTGACTAAAAGCTGTTTTTAATATTTCTAATTGTTTGGCTTTGATTGTTGTTCGTGGACCACGTCGTTTAGATCCCGCACTATCATCAGGACTTTTATTCTCAGATTGTGAATCACCTCGGGCATCAGGATCGCCATCTAAAGAACCCTTTAGAATTTAACAATAATATTAATTGCATGCTTTCAATCAATTAAAAATAAACACTTACCTGATCTGAATCATCATTATTTTTACTATCTGTACTCATGCTTTGCAGAGACAATTCTGAGGCACCTAAATGTCCAACGGATTCTGGTCCATTGGAAACTAAGTGTCCTAAACTGAGAGGCGGTGGTTTTATGTTATCTTCTTCATCCTCCTCCTCTTCATAATCCGAACACAACGGGTCTGAAAAAAATATGATAAGATTTTTCCTTTTATTTTTACTGTACTTATTCCGCACGCAATGTAAAAGAACATTATGATAAAATTATGTTTTTGTCATTCACTCCCTAAAAATTTTGATAACATTTCCTTATAATTTTACTTTCCTTCCTAACATATATTTTTCAAAAAATATATATATATATACATTCGAGAGCAGTAAAAAGAATTTATTTTTCACCCTCACTTTTTGAGCAAAGCAAACAAATTCAAAGACAACAAACACTGGCAGTTGAAAAACGATAAAAATCCCTATGCCAATCGACAACCTGCTCTCCTGCTCGTATCACCCTCTCAAAAAACGTTTAAAAAAACATTTAATCTTGTTTTTAGACTCTTCAGGCAGCTCTCATGAACATTTTCATGAATTTGATCGAATATTTTATATATAAAACATGAAAAGGAATAAAAGGGAGCGAAAGAATGAACCGAGAAGAAAGAAGTTCGCTTTAGGTACGGTATTGAAATTATTTATGAACAATAGTTTATTGACTATATTGACCATACCCTCTTGAAAATAAAATAAGTTACATTGATATCAAGGAAAAAATATTGTAAACATCAGTTCATTGCATATTGTAATATGTTTGCTCAAAAATTTCACTTGTGCTCACATGATACAATAAATCCGGCAGGGTGATTAGAATTAAATGTTTTTTAACATCGTTAACTTTAATAGAACGTATTTCGAACAGCTTAGACTTTTAGAATTTCCCTTTGATATATTCTAATGGAATTTGCATCTATATCAGAATTAAGCAGTTAATTTATAAGCCAATTTTGATTGAGTAATGTTAAATTTACATCAATGAGGAAAAAAGTCTTTTGGAGGCTGACATTACTTAAATTTAATTTTATACTTCAAAAAATATTGTAAATGAAAGCTTGATACACATTAAATTTGTGTTGAAAATTACAAATTGTTAAGCCTTTAATGGTCTATGTTGAGCTTTAATTTAGTTCGCAAACATGTTTATCAGAGGTCAGATTTACCATTAAACTACTATGTGTGAATGGTAGTCGTTGTGTGCTGTAAATTTATGGTGAAACAACGATTTTTGCTACATGTATTTTAAAAATACAGGGATTTGCGTAAACAAATGATTTCATTGGACATAAACGAATGAAAAATTTAAATTTAATTTCTTTTGGGGAGATAGCCGTCATTGGTGTGAGCGCTGAGCATGTTTTGATTGAAAATATGAGAATTACTGAAATAATAGAAGAACTACTTGTTATGACTGCGACCGGTTAAAAAATGAACAATTTTGAATAAGCGTTGGGTAATTTTTATTATATTTTTAATTTTTCATAGCTCAGTTCTACATTTCTCGTCTGTTTTAGTATTTTTTTTTTATTATTACGCGGAGTTTTTTTAAAAGTTAAATCAGACAAACGTATGAATAATCGTTGTGAGTTTCGACTCTCTGACCCCCTATTGTCACATACCCTGTGGATTTCATCAAGATCTTTCTTTATGGATATACATATAACCATTCATCGGATACACTTCCAAAATAATTTCTCACTCTTGCGAAAAGTTTCTGACGGGTTCACTAAAAAGAAAACACCGACATGTTTTACAAAAGAACCATCATTAGCAATAAAACTGAAGCATCATTATTACACGTTCACACATTGCATTTTCCAGTTATTGTTACAAAAAATAAAAAAAGATCTTAGTCTCGCAGTGACACATACACACAGGTTAGTTAAGATACTTTCGTTAATTCATTTATGCTAATGTTTTCTTTTCATATTGAATTTCAACTTGCCAATATTATTTTAAAGAGACTAAAAAATTTGCATTCATTAAACCAACCAAAAAAAAAGTATGTATCTATTTAATCACTAGCATTTTCTCATACACTCGACACCTGAAAACCACCTAAGATACTTTTGGTTAAAAAACCGAGATAATTAATAATCTGTTTTCTTTCTAAATTTTTTGAATATATTAAAATCTTAAGGTTGGTTGAGAAATGTCGATCATGCTTAATTTGCCGCAAAAGAGAACAAATGGTCTTAAAAATCTTACAATCGAAGGTGAAATAGAATTTTTTTTTTACCTAGCTGAGATTTTTGAAACATTATCCATTATCCTAATCTAAGGCTCAACTAGATCTCCGTTTTAAATCCCTCACATAACAATGGAGTACAAATATTTTGTAAACAACTTAAAATCAAACGAAAGTGAAACCTTAGATTAATGACATTTGCAAAAGAAGTAATTTAAAGGTAAAGAAGGAAAAGACAGAATATGTGTTATTATAGCAAAAAATATAATTCTTTATAAATGATATTTACAGTTTTCTAATAATTTGCATAGCTGCTCATAAAAAAGACTACTTATGCTTTATGATTTATTAACAAAAACTTTAAAAAGATTCTTCTACATGCTTTTTATTTTGAATTTGATTTAAAGACAAGTTGAAGCAAGAGTTAAACATACAAAATCCAACGCAGTCGGAACACAATAGACGAGCTGTCTGTTGCCTGTCGTGAATGAAAATGATATATGGAATAAAAAGAAATTTAACCGATAGTAGTAATGTGGTAATGGAATGTTTTTGAATGAAATAATGTAGTATACAAAATATGTTTAACTCATATTCAAAATAGACAAATTGTTGTACCTGTAAAATACATATTATTTAGTGAAAAGACGAACACAGAGACTTCAAAAAAAACTAGTGTATCGGGTAGAAACCCAATGTGGATATATTCACACCGTACCATCAAAAGTTTTATGGATAGACCAAGATTTGCTCAGCATAAGTTAGAATGTATAAAGCTAGCGAGTCAGATGAGCTTCGCTCAGTATATGTTTGAAGGTTTAAAGCTTAGCGAACATTCTTTAAAAGTTTTTAAAAGTATGTTATCATCCAAAGTTTAATTTTTTAAAAATCACAGCGAACTTTTAATTTGAAAAATTCGTAAGAAAGGAAAGTTTTTTGCTTTTTTTGAAGCAACGGCTGTTCCTACCTTGCCCAAAAACAATACAGCTCTTCTATAGAGCAGCACGGATCAAATGTAAAAACCTAGAAGTCTCTACGATGTCTCGTTATTGAGATTTCTTGCTGATTAACTTGCATGCTTGTTTGCTTGCTTGTTTGCTTACAGAAAGCGTATTTTACGATTTTCTCAACAATGCTGCAACCAATTTGAAATTTGTTTTTTGCTAATCATGTAAAATTTCAGGCACAAACTTTTCTTCTAGAACATTTTACAAACAATTTTGCTTCGTTTTCTCACAAAATGCAAAAAACGATTTTTAAATCTGAACAAAACCAATAGATTCACACGTAAAAACGGTGTGAATATAAAAAAAATTTGGACGATTCTTTAGAATCATTGGTGATGGAAAATGATGATAGAATTCGACTTGAAATGTTTTTAATATTTTAGATTTTTTTGTTGTTGAAACAAACAATTAATTTTTCTAGTGTCTTTTAATGAATTATAATTATCATTTGCATCACCTATTTCTTTAAAAAATAATAATCTGATGCTATTCAACGGTTTCTATTGAATCTGATTCTTAGCTTTATATTTAATCTTATGATTCAATCATACATTTTTCAATTTATGGATTTGCCCCAATTCAAACTGATATATCATCAACAAAAAATAACACTTTGCAACAGGTTTTTAATACATCTTTGATTTCATGAAATATTGATATAGATTAATTATTTTGTTCACAAGCTATTCGCTAAATGATAAACTATAGCGTAAAGATGTTCACAGTTCTTATCAAGTATCCAAAAAGAACAGATGTCAATATATGTAAAACTGTAATTAGAACATGAAATTACGTATGGCTTAATTTAAAAATTGGTCCTCAATAAAATAATAATTAACTGAAACATTGAAGGAAGTCTGCATTAAAGTGTTTCAGTTGTTTTCATTCCAAAGTCCTTAGCAAAAAAATTCTCGGTAATAAATAATGACATGAAAATTCTTCAGAGTTTTAAAAACAATAAAATTTAAAAAGACTGAAGCTTCCGTTTTTATAGCAATCGAATATTTCGGAAAAGGAAGAAGAAAAAAATAATATGAGCATGCATAATAATGATTTTTATGTCAAAAACAGACAATTCCTGAATGAAAAACAAAAAATTTTCACAGCAGAAACCTTTAATATTCGTTTTAACGGAAGTTAAATCGTTCTCTTAATACATATTTATAACTTTAACATGCAAATCGATAATTGTTATCGGGAGTATGATCTGGAAACATTTTGAGAATTTTTATAGCGAGTTGAAAATAACTTGAGCATGAGAAGTTTGAATTTGGGTTAAAAATATTGTGAAAACTCAATTTAAATCATTGATAATAATGTTATAAAGAATTGACTAGGTTGTAATAAAATTCAGCATTAAATCTACAGTTTTTTCGACTACCTCAGCAATAATTTTGTTAATATGCAAAATGAGGGCACATCTTAATAGTAAATACAATTTTATTTTAGTGAATATAATAAAGAAATAACAATAAATTTTAATTATTGGATGGAACAATAATTATTGAAAATTTGTTTAAAAAGGTCACCTCATTTGTTTATCGTAATTTAATGGCATATCCCAACAACTTGAACGATAATAGAAACAAAAATTTTTAAGGCTTCCCATATTTGTGTTGTATGAGTCGGCAGAGTTAGTGAAGGAACTGCTGTGTGTACGTCAGCAGTGAGATAAACATCAGATGCAGATAATGTGTCGAATGCACGACAAGTTTTATCTCGCATGGTTATAATAATTTTTAAGCCTGAACTATTCATTTGAGAAAAAGAGAAAAATAGCACGTGACAGCATAAGATTAGGAATAACGTGAAAGAAATCTGACTGACAATCAAAATCTACGAGCGTGTGTAGTCGTAGATAAACAGAGTTTGTGTATTGAATTGCGAGTTTGTGCTGAAAAAAAAAAATCTTGAGTAAAAATAAGACATGCGCACGATAAGAATATTAAAAGTACGGAAGGAAAATGTTTTACTTTCAAGCACAACTTCTCTGATATAGTTATCATGTTCTTTTACATTTTTCTTATTACTACATTTAAAGTTCAATAAACATTTTAATAATTTTATGTCTTAAAGAAACTGTTCAACTCACCCATTTGATATCCTTTACTTAGCATAAAATCCTTACAGTTTTTATTATCTTTACACACAAATTTATTATCGTCCAATACATATAATTGTTCACCAGTACTTAATTGTTTCCTACATATACAGCATGTAAAGCAATTTAAATGAAACACTTTATCTCGGGGTTTTCTCACTAAATCTGATGGCGCTATTCCATTCCCACATCCACTACACTTTGTTCCATAACGTCTGTAAAATTCACATGAAACAGAAGAAAACCATAAAAAATCGCCATTTGTACAAAGTATAAGCATGTTATAAATAGCATAAACTTTTTTAAGGTACTAAAATGTATCAAAAATTTTTTTTGTTGCAATTTTAAACACGATTAGGGATCCTTTTTCGTCATTGAAATGTGCAAACACTTTTATGTCTGGGAAGTTATAGTTTTAAATTTGAACCAAATAATGTCCAAAACACCATTCCTTCTTACTCGTTTGTAACTCATGAAAGTGTTTCCTCAGAACTTTTAGAGTTTACGTAGCTTGTACTTGCTACCAGATTGCTCGATTGTTGCATTCTTTTTTTTTTGTTCTTTTCAGTACTCTACCATTTCGGAATTCTTCATGTTCTTCATTGTTATTTTGAGCAAGTCGCAAAAGAAAAATCATAAAATATGTTTATTTGGAGGTTATGGAATAAAGCATCATTACTTTTGCATGGCCACAAAATTTAATTTAAAAGCTATTATTTCAGACTACAAAGCTTGCCGACGAGGAAGCTTAAGCTGCAAAAATCTTTCTTAACTTGTTCATGAAGTCATTTGACCAATTTCAAATGAGAAGGAAAAAAAAAACATCTGTGGATGTATGATTTAATGGTGTGATTCAAAGAGCCTTTGTTTATTGCTATAAAAGTCTCTTCCTTTTGCGATAAAACTAATTTATAGGAACCATTTGCAACTTCTCTTTTTTACCAAGATATTAAGGTGTACTGAGTAGTTTGAGGTATGAAAACAACAAATTGCGTTCGAAATTACAACAAAAAAGTTTGAAGACATTTAAAAAAATTTTTTGACTAAACTTAAAACAAAAAAAAAATCAGATATGTTACGTACCTAAAAAAGTCATTTCTACAATAAAGTTTCGCCTCTCGACTAAAGCATTTCTCTGTTAACGGTGTTAGACATTCACAGCATCTCACACATGAGGCATGCCAGCCTCTTTCTAGTACATTTAACAAAAATTTATCTAAGATGGGTTTATTACAACCAGCACATGGGTCGCCGACACCTTTTGGTTCTGATCGACCTGCAACAAAAAAAAAACATTTTTGATATGAACGATTTGTAATTGAAAGTAATTTATTAGTGTGTAAGTAGAGAGTAGAAATATAGTCGATATCATGGCAGTCAGTAGTTAAAATCATTTTATTTTGAGCTTGAAAATGTAAATTTTAAAGCTGAACTCATGTCATGCAGATTGCTTCGTACTTTTTTTGCTGTCAAAATCATTGACATGAAATCTTTCGAATAAATTTTCAGACAAAATTATGTTTCTAATTTTATTTCCATCAAAACTAGATTCAATCATGAGTGACACAGTAATAAATAACTGTCATTTTTAAAGATTGTCATCTTTTGATCAAAATGTTCACACATGTCCGAAAAATCTAGCACAAAATAATCTGAATCTAAACTGATTTCTTTTAAAAATTGAATTTATTTTAAGACTTAATTTTTTTTGAATCGTCACAATTGACACAAAATCTATTCGCCAAAATATAAACAGTAAAATCCTTTTGTTCTTCTTTAAATTTAAACGGTCTTTATAAAATGTTGATACTGATATAAAGTTATAATCTTGAATTCATATTCAAATGTATCTCTGCTTTTGGTTTGAATTTTAGGTTCAATAAATTGGCATCATTTAAAAAATTTAATATACAAGATTTTAAAAAATTAAACTTAAAATCGATGTAATGTTAATTTAAAAATCCGTGAGTCACGATCTTAAAATTTTAAATTCCAATAATGTTTTTGAATTAAAATTTAAATTCTGAAATTGACCCACATGATTGTATTGAAAATTATAATAAGTTTTTAAATTGAAAATGGCAGTTGACAAAATAAAATTGGATAATTAAAGAATTCACTTCAGGAACATATACGATTCCGTGTTTACTATTTTAATAACGTTTATTTAAAGGATTATTATAATTCATGACATTGAATAAGAAAATAATCCATTTGGGAGTTTAGAGAAACAAAAATCAGGTGCTATGCTATATGCTTATCGCATATTCACACAATTATACCTGCGATAAGTAATATGTAGTATCTTTTGAACAATGGTTCACACACTTCTTACAGAGTGCAACCTGATTAGTGCTCACATCTTAAAATTGAAACAAAATCTACTTTAAAGTATAAACAGGACAAACTATTGATATGCATAGCATTTTTATATCAAATGACTGCTAAGTACTTTTATCGCATATCAGTCCAGCTGTACAGCGTTTAACATAGCAGTAGTTTAAAATTTTAGCATGTCAAAATGATCACATACATTTTAATTTTTTTTTAATGTACACAAAAATGAGTCTGCGCAAAAAGTCATGTATTAAAAACGTGTAACAAAAAGATCCTTTGTTTATGGACAAGCTGAATATGCGAATATTAAAATTGGTGGAGTTTAAAGAGCGCATTCTTGGAAATATTCATCATCTATGTAGTTTTTTAAACTTAATAATAATCAGTTATAAAGGTTTTCAAACTTCCTAATTTGATTTTTCAGCAAAGTTCTTTTCCTAAGGTCTGTTAAAATAATAATTAAGACTATCTTTAAATCTCATTTCTTTTCCTATAATGTAACCATATATAAATGTATATTGAAGACGATCCTTTGCTTTGTGCATGACTAAGACAAATGATGTTTTGTTGTTTGAGTTTATGCAAATTTCCAAAAACTGCAAATAGTCTCAAAATAAATTAATACATCAGTCTGGTGATTAGAAGTGATTTTTTTTAAAAAAAATCTTAACTTCTTCATAAAAAGCAGCAACTAAAACGTAAATAATAATTGATTACGGTGTTTCCCAGACGCATCAAAATTAATGTGCATACATGTCATTTCCAAATTTGAAAAAGGAATTCACAAAAAAATTTTAATCACTTGAAACTTAAAGTTTATGTATCATATGCTAATAATTCATCATTCTCGAAAATAAAAACTACTAAAGTATCGACACAGAGAATTCATTCAACAAAAGGTCGTCATCATGCGAACAGCTATAAATATCTGTCAATACTTATCATCAATCAAGTATAACTTTGTTCATTCCAGCAAATCTCATTCACATTTGTTTTACTACTTGCATGTAGAGGAAAAGTTTCTGCCTGCTATCTTCTCTTCTCGCTCATTTTGTTAAATTGCTGTTCTGTAGCCATTCAATATTCTAGCGGAAACTAAAGTAATTTTCAAGAAACTACAAGATTCACAACTTGCTTCTGCCTAAAACCTACACGAGACCTTTGTTTGAGCAAAAGCCTCAAGCAATTTGGTTGTTACCATTCTCATCATGAATTTTATTTCTTCTTCTATCTCCTTCTCAACTTTTATATACATTCTGTTTTTCGGATGTGTTCACATTGTGTCATGACCATTCAATCTTTCAAAATTACTTTTAGATCTTAGACTTTTTTTTTATAAGCACATAGCAATTATCTATCTTTAGCATGCTTTTGATATTAGTTGCATTAAAGTAATGATGACATGGTAAGATCTAGTAATTAACGTGTTGATAATAACCGAAAAAAATTCTTGATGCTATAAAATGATTTTATTTTTTATAGTTTATATTAGATCACCAATTATAATTAATGTATGTCTTGGTAAACACACATAAAAAATTTGAACATCGTTACTACATAGATCTAAAATTCCTAAAGGCTAAATAAAAAATCAGACATTTATATGATGAGAACGATATCATTATTCGGGTGCAATTTCGCAAGAAAAATAATAATTATCTTTTGACTTGAGGTTATTTTACGCTGCCTTTACTCAACACTATTCACTATACGACCACTTACGATCGGTAGACATAATAAATGCAAGCATGAAAACACTCCGACGGAATTTTGTCGTTTTGATATATTTTGCATGCTTATCATTATTATTTTTTTTTCTTTCTTTTTATTTAAACGGTACAAACCTATATTGTGCTGATTATGCCCTAAAACTGATCCGAACGCCATATGATCTTTTTGATTCAGTGTTGGTTTTGTACTGAGAACAGATGAGCAATCAGTGCCCAAAAAAGACGCTAACACCTTTGCCCTTGATAAGGGCGTTTTCGTATTTTCAGTTAAAATTTTGATGCTTTTTATCGGTCGCGGAGAAAAATAAAGCTTTCCGCTTTATCCTTTTTTATGATTAATTATATTTCTTTTTTTTTTAAGTTTTAATTTAACACATTAATTCCTTTTTGGTCTGCGATTCATCAAGATATATTATTATTTTATTAAAAACTCTAGTTGCATTTTGCTTCCAAGTTTACAAAATATCACTTGATTTATTTATGGAACCGATTATCAATATATATTTTTATTAGCACAGTATGAATATGTATATATGCACTTGAACTTATCAAGAAATTCCTTCTAATAATTGTCAATGTGTATGGTCCTCAATTCACCGAATATTTTCTTTTCACACATGTATCCTTAATCTTAATGAACTTTTATCCTTGGTTTCGGATTCAAACACACATTACTTCTTAATCATTAAATTGTTTTGAAATCGTTTAAAAGTATCCGATAGTCCTTCTTTTTACTTTTGAGAATTGTCTACACTTGCAAAATAATAATAACAATATCTCGAGAATTCCGTTGTACATCGTACGTACAAATCACAATTTCACGCGTCTCATTCGTTCGAATACTGGCTATAGACTGAACAACTGATGCAAAGTTGACAAGGCAGAAGTTAAGCAATGGAGAATATTTTATTATATTTACAGATACCTCCCTAGCTCACATATACATGCACAGCATTTGTAGCCAATCGTAAAAAGAAGCATAAGGCATGAAGTTAGCAGCATTTTTAAAAGGTAAAGGTGTGTCTAAACGAAGCTGCTGAGAAAGAAAACTAAGGGAAAAACAGCGTGTGAAGAAAATTTAAAAAATATGATTCATGTGTTTGATTAAATATGAAAAATGCAGTTCTTCAATAAATAACAAAGAAATTTATTTTTCATTTTTACAAATCTAATTTCTTGAAAGAAATTTTCTTTAGCTTTTCATCATTCCTTTATGCATGAACATATTTATGTTGTTATTATTTCAACTTCCTCTTTCATGATGCATAAATATTCCTTTATATACCTTTTTTATTTATTAAAAGCAATTAATAGTTGTAAAGTTCTTCATAATATAATTTTCGCTTCACTCATAGAAAAAAAGTAACAAAATGTTTGTAACTTGTATGGAAAATGTTAACAAACAATTCGTTAAAATAGTGTTTACGAACTTATTTGTTAAATTTAACCAAATTATTTGTAAGGTTGAATTGTTAACTATAAAAATTGTTAATTTAACAAACTTTTTGTTAAAATTTTTTTTTACAGAAAAAAATAACAAATTTTCGGTTAATATTAACCAGAAAATTGTTAATTTGGTCACCCATCTTATTTTAAAATGTTTCCGTGGTTGCTTAACTTCTGAATTCCTGTTGATGATCCGCTAGTCCGCTGCTTGTAAACTTTTACTTATAAAATTTGATTCAGAACCAATATAAATAATTCTTTAAAAAATATATCCAAATTTTAAAATTAATTTATGAATAATAAAATAGAAATGTAGGACTTAAAAAAATGAACAAATTTAATTTTTAAATTATGATTTGGTTTGTAAATCATTATTTTCCAAAACAAATTACAAATAAAAACATTGTAACAAATGTTTTGTTAAAATTAACAAATTAATTTGTTAAACAAAATCAACAAAATTCAATTTAAAGCAGTTTTCTCATTAAAAATAACGCAATAAATTAATGGGAATCGTTTGAAATTAATCAAACAAGAGTTTTGAATACAAAAATTAAAATTTAATTAAATCAATTATTAACAAATAAATTTGTTGATTTAACAAACTCAATTGTAAAATTTTTAACAAATAGTTTGGTTGAAATTTTTTTTACCCATGTAAACTTAACCAATAATTTGTTAAACTAGTTTAACAAACATATAACAAATATTATGGTTACTTTTTTTCTATGAGTGTTTGATATGTTTATTTCCAATGACTTGAGAGCATTAGCTAATTCCTCTACATCTCACAAATGACTACTGTGGAAGCAAAAACAATTTATTTGAAAAGTAATAAATAGATACATTAATGAAGCACATGCGTATTAGAGATATTGCGAAAAACCTAGTTTGCGATTAGAACTGCACAGATCTAAAAATATGTTGGGATATAAATTTTTCTGAGATTACTGCAAGCGTGTCCCAATGAGGAATGAATTTAAAAGTCTTTTTAAAAGTTTTGTCCTATTTTTAAAATTAAAGCAATTTTATCAAGAATAATTATTGGATGTCAGTGACGTAGCTACAACAGGTAATTTTATTAATCATCCTCACTTGTCACACCAATAATATCTAGACCTTATTCAATATTTCAATTTCTTTTAAAAAAAATCTTTTGATTTTCAAACTGTAAGGGTGTGAAACTGATCAAAAATGTTCAAAATTTGATTTATCAGTTCCACAATCTTGAGCAAAATAGGTATTTGGGCAATTCCATGGATTAGTTGAATTCATCAAAAATGAGTTATAATTCTTTTTAAACTTGTGTTTCAATTTTTGGGATTCAAAGTTTTAGAAATATGACATTAGTACTTTATTTAGGCATATCCAGGAAACCTACATGCCAAATTTCATCTTGACTGGACTTTATTATTCAAATTTTGAAATTTGGTTTTTTCAATTTCAATTTCAATTTCAATTTATTCATCTTAAATTGTGCAACAGTGTTTACTAATCCTTTAAGCGTTACAATTTTATTCTTAGTATTAATATTTCTTAAATCATATTATGTACAAGGGTCAGACACTCCAACAGAATTGTAATCATTGTACAATTCTTCACAATCTTTATATAAGAAGGATTGGAAAGGATTGTAGGGATTGTAATTCTTACAATCCTTTCCATATAAAGATTGTAAGGATGAAATAAATGTATGGAACATTTAAAAATGTTTTTCATTGGTTATTAGAGAAGAAATATTAATTTAATATTAAAAATTTATTTGTTTGAATTTAAAGAACGAAATAAACTTGATATATCAATTCTGTCCGTTGTAAAACTACGCAGATGGTCACCCTAAACCAGGGTGATTTAAATCAAAAATCAAATTCAAAATCTTTTTGCAATGATTTAAAAAAAAAAGGATTTTGATTTTAATCATTTTTTCAAAGGGATTGTTTTTTGGATTTTGATTTAAATCTCTTGTATGAAAGATTTTATTGGGATTTTAAAATCCCTCCATGTAAGATTTTTGTTTTCAATTTCTCAAATTATTTTTCAAATCAACAGTTTTCAGTTGCAGTTCCTAATAAGTAAGAATGCAGTTGATCCTTTTTTGGCCTGAATCTTGCAACTGGATCTTTTAGATCCAAATATTTCTTAATTAATGGTTACAGCAATGGTTCCATGCTGTTTGACTTAAACGAAATCCAATTTGTGATTTTTAATCTTCTATGCCTTGCTGCTTGCATAAAAATAACTGGACTTCATCAAGCATGCCTGGATCTTACGTCATATGAGGATTTACCTGCATTAAATCCTTTAAAAAACTTAAATATATTTTATTACACCACATTAGTTTAATGAGTCATAAGCAAGAATAGGCACTTGAACTGCCTAGTTCCTTTACATCCACAAAAATTTTTTTTGTTGCTTTTTTATCAAGGATTCACCTCTTGAAATCAAAATTTTTTTGCGTAAATGGCCGGTTTCTTTCGTACATCAATGCACAGAAGATAAAAAATCACGAATTGGATTTCGTTTCAGTCAAACAGCATGGAACCATTGGTTGCTGTAACCTTTCTTTAAGAACTGCTTGGATCTAAAAGATCCAGTTGCAAGATTCTGGCCAAAAAATGATCAACTGCATTCTTACTTTAGGAACTGCAACTGAAAACTGTTGATTTGAAAAATAATTTGAGAAATTGAATACAAAAATTTTACATCGATGGATTTTTAAATTCGAATAAAATCTTCCATACAATAGATTTAAATCAAAATCCCCAAAAAAATCCCCATACAAAAAGGATTTAAATCAAAATCTCTTTTAAAAATCATTGCAAAAAGATTTTGATTTTTGATTTAAATCACTCACCCTGTTCACCGGTGTAAAAATTATACTTTTTACAACTTTTTAATGAGTTGAAATGTATAAAAAATCATTCGAATTGATTCACGGTAAATTATTGCATTTTAAATATAATTGTTTTCAAAGAAATTTCTGACTTTCTTCATTTTTTGTATTTTGTCTTATTTTTTAAAAATAAATGGACATTATAGTAAGGATTGTAAAATCCTTAAAATTCTCATATAGAAAGATTGTAGGAATTGTACAATCCTTACAATCCTTATATGAAAAGGATTGTAAGGATTGCACAATCCTTACAATTCTGTTGGAGTGTCTGACCCTTGATTATGTACTCTAGCTCAGTGTGTAGCGCATTATCTTCACTAAGCAGTTGTGACACTCGTTTAAATTTTCAGTAGGTCACAATGTCTCCAGGTTCGTTTCAGTAAAAGCCCTTCATGGTGAAGTTACGGCTTTCGTATCTTTCTCATTCTGTCTACATAATTCTTGACCTGTTCCTACATCTCACATTGCCTAATTCTTAGTTTTACGTCTTAAACTGCTGCACCTAAGAAGCCGAAGTATCTAAACTTCTGAAAAATCACTAGGCTGGTGGTGAGATTTGAACCCAAGAGTCCAAATTCAACACCAACTTTTGTGACCTGTACCTTGCCAACTGAGCTATCAAGGCACTTTTGCTTCTCTTTAACAGGCACCCTCAAAATATCTTTAAATGACAAACCTTTTTAAATGAGAATTGATTACAACAAATTACTAATTTCTGTTGTTATTTAAAACTTTGACAATCTTTATGAACTTTTTAAATTTTTGATGAAATGTGACATAAATTTTGAATATTCTCAAGTCGGTAAAATGAAATCCATTATCCTGCCCAATGCATCAATAGATGAAACAAAAAGAAAAAGAAGAAAGATCAATACAATTTAATTATATTTATTTCTTATATAATTCAATAATTTTAACACAAATACGAATTGACTACCGTAAATTTTACGAATATAAACCTCAAAACTCAACGTGCATTACAAAGGCAAGCACCATCATACAATGAAAGCAAAAACCAAAAAAAAAATCATATCAATCCAAGATATATATTATGGATATACATTCATCATCAATAAGATCGTCGTTTTACGGATTTGAGCTTCTGCAAGCAATTATAAAAACAATCTTATTTTTGTAGTGGCACGTTGGTCTTTGGTTTACTTGGTTCAGTAATTTGCTATCTTTTGTGTACATCGAGCACAAACCATCTATTATTCTCACTTCAGCAATGGTTTTGAGAAATTGAAGATTCAAAAGAGTCAAATAAAAAATAATGTAATTTTTTTCTGATGTAGATTTCATGATTTCGAAGTTTGTATTTGTTTCTCTGTGATTTTTCATTTTTTTTGTGCTTCTATATACGCTGCGGTAGGACTCTGACTATAGCTTTTAGAGTTGTTTTCTTGTGGTTTTCTTTGATACAATGCCGAACAAAGCAGCAATTTAAAAAAGAAACATGTTTCATGATGATGTAAAATAATGAATGAAATAGATGTTTTCGCCAAGTATAAGAATAAATAAATTTTAAACGCGACTATCTCAATCAAAAATGAAGCATGTAATCAAAATAATATCTCAAGTTATAATTCACGATAATGCACATAAATTGCTGCAGAATAAGTTTGCTCATTTAACTTCTTTATAACTCATGAAGCTTTTTCGTTGGATAGAAATGAGCATGCAATTTAGTTTAACTTTTCAAATACAGCAGCTTAGTTGATACCAACAACTTGGTTGATATAGCAAAACTGTAGTTATGGACAAAGTGATGTTAGAATTCAGCATCAGCGAAAAGTACAGAAGATATATTTTTGTAACTGTTTATAAGAAGCACCTGAGTCTTGTCGATTGATCTTAGTCATTTTCTTTTGAAATAAAAGTTTATTTATTACTCCAGAATGACGTTAGCATAATTGGAACTTTGTGTTTTTTGAAAAACATCCAGTTCAGGTTGATTTTTACCTTACATCACCTTTTGTTATTAGGATTGTTTTTACTTAAAAAATCCCTTTGTGTCCATTTTTATGGGATATTAATAATAGTTTTATTTTGTCGGTTAGCTTAAAGATGTAAACAACCAGTGAATTTTGCCATAAAATGTCTGCTTCTTATATCACAGTCATATTATCTAGGTTCCGATTATTGCAATTGTTGCAACCTTTAAATTGTAAACCAATTCAAGATATATCTTGGTTTCAACTTTTTAATATATTTTCAAAGTTGCAATCCTTTTTTGTTGGCTTAGATTCCCTTTTCGATTCCTTGATATTTTAATTTCTTGGTTTTAACAAATTTCTCAATTTAGCTTTTTGGACTCACTTTACAAAGGATTGCATCAACAAGTGGCTACATTAATTTTTTTTTCAGTTGGCAAGACCAAAAAGCGACAAACAAGCGATAAAAAATGCAAGTTCTTTGACTTTTTGGTATTTTTACAAAGAACATAGTGCTGATAATACCTGTCTTTGATTGTCTCCAAGTGCTTCCATTTCATGCGCTAAAAAATGGCGTGACTAAATGAAAATTGCCTATTATAAAATGAAAAACGGTAGTTCCATTTATAATTTTTCATGTCTTGAATCATTTTTAATGTACATTCAATATAAAATGTGCTGAAAACTGATGGATTTGAGTAATAATTGACTTCTTGAAACAGGATGAATTATGGCTTTCTGTATGAATAAGGAATGAATAATGGTAAAAAATAATATTTGGCAAAAGAAATAGAAAATAATAGAATAGAATTAATGACATGATGTATGACTTTTTAATATGACTAGTGGAGTTAAACAAACTTTGCATTTTTATTAATGAGAGAAGGTCCAATGATTTACTTGATATTAACATAATAAAGTAAAATAAGAATAATTTATTTATTTTAGTTCATGAACTATTTCATCTATCGCATACTGATTATGATAGTACACACATTTTCTTAAGATCATTATCATTCTCCTCTAACAGTTCCGAGTGATGATTTAACAAAGGTTGCTTGTTTTCTATCTTTGGCAAATAAGGCAAATAGTCTAAGTTTTTTCGTTCATAAAAGAGCAAATATGCACTACTAGGGTCAATATTTGGAGTAGTCGATGATATTTCGCGGCACGAAGAATCATTAAAGCAATACCAAGATTTATTATTTGCATTTGACGCATAAGAAATATAATGTCCGCCAGACAGCATTCCTGAGTGTGACTGTGAAGAAAATAATTTTATAATTAGTTGTAATTAATTTTTCTTTTATCGCATGGTGATAGGACTTACAATTACGGCATATAATTTGTATTTCAAATCGAAAGGATCACTATTTTCCGTTAATTTATGGTTATTATAATCAATAAGTTCATGATCCACAACTGGAGTTTTTGTTAAACTTGTTGATATCAGACGTTGTCTCGCAGGCTTGAAACCTCGATTAATATCTTTTGATGAACATAATTCATTTATACCTTCATTCTCTTCCTGTGCATCAGTTTTTGAAGTTTTATCACAATCTGTTTTATTGGGATTTGGAATGTCGTTTTCTAAATCAAATTCTTTTATTTCTTCGTTGCAATCAACATTTTTAATATTTTTTGCTTTTAATTCGTGCAATTCACGATGTCGAAATATTGTCTCTTGAGGAATACTAGCAAGAAAAAGTGTCGGGTCAAAATTATCTAAAGGAAAATTTACAACTTTTTGAGACTTGACCCATTTATTGTTAACTAAATTAAAGCGTTTTAAATGAATTATCTGGAAATAAATCACAGTTAAAGTAGACAAATCATAAATTAATTACAAATGACATACCAATATCGGTGGCAGCTTCCACAATTGAAGCTTCTTTGTAGCAGGCTGTTTTGATTTACAATGTGAACAATGAATATTTTCATCCAATTTTTCTTCTGATGTAAATGCTCGCAGGCAATTGTTCAAATCTACTGGTTCAGCTAGCAATTTACGATTAATTGCTACAGATTCATGTTCATTAAACACCTTTTCGCGGGTACTTTGATAACGTAAATGTAGTGCAGAAGTGTCCCAATCAATTGCGATATATATTAACTTTTGGACAATAATTTTCTGCAAACTATTTTGAATCTCTCTTGCTGAAGGATTATAAGCGTCTGTAAAACCAAAAATTAAATCTAGAACAAGCTTTTAATATTTAAAATGAAAATAATACCATTAAAGTGGTGAATTTCTTCAAGAAGTTTCTGATCATTGCAAGGAATATTACAGCCACGACAGAACTTCTCCCAAGGACAGAGCGCACATACCAAACCATTTTCATTAACAGTGCTCAATATAAATGGAAAGTCATATCCCTAAATTGAAAATTTAATTTTGATAAAGCCAGGATTTAAAAATTATTAAATTGAAGCTTACCATGCTGTCATCGCAATCTTCGGCATGATTGAATTGATCGCGGGGAGCTTTTGGCAATGGACTGAGGAATTTAGATACTTGTACCCAAACATTGAAATATAAATCTCGATTTTTCATATCATTTGTGAAAGGAACTAATAATGGCACACCGAATAGCGATGGTTTTGTTTTATGATAGGATAAAAAGTAAGTGTCTTGTCGTGTAAACTTCCTATGAAGAGCTATCAAATAGTTACATTGAAAATCATAACATTTAAAGTTTTGCTTATCACGAAATGAGGAAAGCGAAGTATTATCTTCTTCATTCTCAAAGGTATTGATTTTGGATGTAGGAACTGCATTCATTTGCTCATTCAATAATGTTGTGGACTTCTCAGCAATGATACTTTCTGTACTCGATATAACATTCATATCATATATGTCATTGGGTGGGGTCATAAAAGAATTCATTGGACTTGTTCCCAAAATATCGATTGAATGCTGTAAAAGAATGTTGACATGAATTAATAGTTGACAAGTTTGTCCTAAGTTAATTTTGCATTAGATGAGATTAATGGTTATGTACAATAATTAATTCTGATACTTCTAACAACTAGTCACAGATTAATAATTTCTAAATTAGAGAATGTTCAAATTATATACAAAATTTGTGCAAGAAAAAATTGGTTAATATTGTTATGATAATACTGATCATTCTCTATACATACATAAATAAATAAATGAAAATAAAAGCGTGTAAAAAATCAATATAATTGTACTAAATCGTACCTTAAAGCACAATAGATTTGTAGGCATGCAAGAATTTGTTCCAAAGCACCTGCTTACCTTTACCGATTTTTCATTATCCTGCGATTTTTTGTTATCAGTTGAGTTGCCATTCATTTTTGAGCTTGAACCATTTTCTGACGAATTAATAAAAAAGTTTAAGTGATAAGTTTTTATCCACAATAAGATTTTAAAAGAGTAAATACCTTTTTGTCTTTGAATATCCTTTAAATTATTTCCGACGACTTCCTTTTCGACAACAGTTTTCTCTACTTCTTGAATTTTGGGTAATTCATACGCATAAAGATTCAAAGCAGACGAAGAAATAATTTTTTGATCGTTGGTAAAAATGTATTTGATTTGTGAGCTATCTACTTGACATATTAATATTGAAGCAGCTTCTAGATTGGACAATTCACTGAGATGATTTTTAAGGTCCCAGTATTTACAGTCGCTATTTAATTTTGCAGCATATTTTGTAGGAAATTCTCCATTTAATTTCGTCAAAAGCACTTCACATAAAACAAAATTTTCAAGTGGCAATGGCAGACTTAGCAAAGAAAACGGTTCAAATCGTACAGATTCAGTGTTGCATGTCAAACAAGCAACTTTTGATTTCATTTGGCCATAAAATAAATCTACAATGACACTATTATTACGTTTTAGAAAGGCATCGTAAGCTTCTTTTGCAACCAATTGATCACTTCGACCATTACTATCCTTTATTTCAATGTATGGCTTTTCCGTAACTCTATTCAAATCCTCGTGAAGTGTATCCAATAGCCAAGCCAAAAGTTCCTGTGAGTCGTGCTGCATTCCATTTGTGAATTGTGGTGCAAATTTACTAACACTAAATCGAAATTTAATAGGAGCAATTGATCTTGTTTGAGCACTAAGAATTTCCTTTAATAATTCAGCATATCTCATTGTCAAATGCCCTTTCGTGCTCATTTTATTATGGATATTTAATTCAAATAAGTGAAGATTTTGTTTGAAATATTCCGTTAAAGGTTTTGTATTAAATAATACTTGTAAAGCAGCATTCATAAAGCATGTATTACCAAGATTATGAAGACCACACACACCAAGAGCATAAAATGACTGAACAGAAGCAACGGTTCCTCTTCGATCCTGAACTAATGTTTGATTTTGAGAAATTTTTAAATATTGAATTTCTTCAGGCCAAGTCAAATCCTTATTTCTTAATTCTAATAAAATTTGATTATCATCAGTAATTCCAAGTTCTTCAAGACTCAAAGTTTCATCTTCGAGGAGAACATAAGATGCATCAATATTTTGTGGAATGTGCCATATACGAACGGTATCTGGTTTTAGTTTGAGTCGAATGCACAAAAATTCTGTAACTTGTCTAACAGTGGCTAGTCGAGAAAAGGCAGCTAAGTACGCTAAATATTTTTTTGGTGTTGAATTGCTTTGTGAAGAAACTGATGAATATCCAGACGTAGCTAGAGCACCATAGCCGCTAGATATTGTATTCCATGTATTTGTATGATTGCTTGTTTGATTGGAATTTTGTTGTGGTTGTTGATGCTTAAAGATTTTTAGATTAACTGGATACAACTCAATTTCTAATACCTCTGTACTTGACGGCTTAATGACTTGTCGGGGTAAATCGAGTGTACTTTCGTACCAACTTTTTAATGCTTTATAAAGCTTCTCTGGTAATAACTCGAAATCTCGATGCTGTACCAAAGGAATTTCTTTCTTTAATTTTCCTCCTTCGCCTGTTAATGACGGAACATGCTTATACGGATTCATAGCTAGTAACGGCATATTTTCGATTATTCCAGGAGATCCTCTAGTCAAAGATGTTGAACTGCTTCCAGAACTCAAAGATAATGAATCTCCAATATCAGTGCTATTATTTAATGATTCTGATAGATTTGAAGTATTCCAAGACTCATCGTATTCATACTCAATAGCAGGTCTTGTTGTTATCGATTTACAGTATGAACATGGAGATACAGTCGTTGATTGAGTGTTGGATGTAGTATAAAGAAGCCATTTCTGCCACCAATCTGCTGACACTAAATACCAAAATTGGCCAATCTCATATCCATGTAGTTTTTCTCGCGACAACCAGCCTTTAACGATGCACAATTCAAGATGCTTGCATTGAGGACGTAGGCCAAAAATAACATGACAAATTTCAAACAATAGATCCGTTAAGGGTTGAGTAATGTTAATTTCACTTTGAACGCACCACATCAAAAAGTCTTCTTGAGATATTGCTAATGATTCCGAAATTTGATTTGTATTGCACCACTTTTCATTTCGTCCCACAAACTCTTTTACATCCGATAATACTTTTTCAAAAGTGACATTCTTTAGAACATTCATTGTACATTTCGCAGTAATGTCTAATATAACATTTATCATATGTTCTAATTCACTATTATTTAAAGTGTTGTCCCGATCAAAGTCAAACACTTTGAAGCAAAATTTGATTCTCTCGACATCCGGCGACCTAGTTGATTGAGAAATTCCGCAACATAGTTCCTTGAAATCTATGTGTCCATCACAATTTTCGTCGAATGCTGCAAATAGACCATTGATTGCAGCCGTTGGAAATAGTGGAGACAAAAGCTGTGACAGTAGCTCTAAATCAAGTTGTCCATTTAAAGAAAATGATTTTAGTTGCCAAAATCTTTTCTCCAAATCACAAATATCTTTTTCTTCAAGATGTGTCACTCCTTAAAAATAAACAACATTTTTATTCTTATCAATTTACAGCTCACTCTAATTTTTAAAGGAGGCAATTAGTAATAAAAAAAAATACCTGCTAAACTTTGATAAAAAGTCGGTGCTTCATTGTTGGATGTTAGGCTGATTGAGGAGTCAAGAAGTAGCCATTTCGAGAAAATTGTCGCATCCTTGTGCATCAAAATCCATGATCGAAACTGATCAAATGTTACTGATGTTAATGAATTTCCGAATAAAGATAGAGTATTGATTGTAAGATGATTCTCATTTTGTGAATTTCTTTCTCGATTCTGATAGGTAATTTCATTTTGTAGTATTTTAAAAAAGTCGTTTTTAATTATAAGTTGGTTTGAATCATTTGAATACAGCGTCCACAGAAATCTAAAATAAACAATGAATTTAATGGAATGTGTAATTATACATATACGTCAATATTTTGTCATTTTGTGCAATATTAAAAAAGTTTTGCAAAACATTAAAATGCTGTTGTTGTAACTGCCTTCCGAAATGAAAAGCAATAAACCACGAGAGCCACTTGATTATTAATTAATTACAGAAAATAATTAACATATTTGATAAGGGAAACAAACTTCAATGAGATAAATATATAATCTACTTTTGATAACACCTCATTATGAAATATTATGATACATTCATCAGTTGAATAACGGAGTAATTTTTTTTTTCTTATCAGAAATACAGTTAAAGATTAAGTTTTTCATTTATTATTCTCATAATACTATCTCTCTCTTTCTTGCTCCCTTCCTTCCTTTTAACTTACCTAATTTTTTCATCTTGATTTCCTTTCGTTAATAGCACCAAAGCAGATATCAAATCTTTAAAGTTTATCCCTTTACTAGTACCACCGCATGCATAATATATCCAATCAGCTAATTTCTCTGGCGTGTGATAACAAAGAACCTCGTCAATAAATGCGTTTTTACTAAGAAAATTTCCATTAGATCCAGTCGCAGCTTTTCTAAATGCTTCTTTTATTCTTCGTATCTCAAATTCACTGACTATAATGATATATAATGTTTAATTATTTACTTAATAATTCTAAAACAAAGAAATTTATCTATTCTTTATGGCAAGTAAGATAGGAGAAAAAAAATATTAATTGAATTTACTTCTCTTCACCGCTTCTTCATACGATATTACTGATGATTTTGAGTTTTGTCCACCCATATTCTTAATTATCCTAGATATCTGCTACTAGTATCTATTCATCTTTGTTCAATTGATTAATTTGATTGTTTAATTTTGAAGGAAACACATATATATATATTATTTGCAATAAGAACTTTAAACATTTATTCACACTGAGTCTTTTTCGATTGTTTTGATACTTGAAAAAACACTCTATTATGATTCTTTAGTATAATTCACTGAATAATCACTTATTAAACGATATTTTAACTTTTTATACATAATCACGAGCTTATCTATTGAATAATTAATTTTATTAAGTTGGAAATTTTGTTCATCACAAGGAAAAAACAGAAATATTAAAGTGAGCCATGTGAATATATTATCCAAATAAAATCGTCTTCGTTAAAACCACTTTTCGTTCAAACTAGTAAACAAATCTTCAGTATTTTAATGTGTACAACCTATGCGCATATTCACCTTATTAATCAATACAAATTAAAGATCCAATAGAATTTAATACCTACAATAACAGTGTTTTGAAATTTAAATCTTCAACGGTTTCTTAAAATTTAAAAATTATGTTTTGCTGACAGTTTGATGAGGATTTAATAATTGAATTTTTTGATAGAATGCTGTCTGGTATGGAGTTATAAAGCTCCAGAAATTAAAAGCCTATACATGATTTCAGTGTCAAGATCTCAGTAATATTGACAGCCTGGCAAAATAAACATAATAAAACTATGTTATAGAAAAAGAGCGGTAATAACGAAACAGGGTAGAAACAACGCAAATAGTTCGTGTTAATAAGTCTCTCCTTTTTTCTCGATTCATCAAAAAAGTTTGATTATTAATTCTTTTTAATTTAAGAGTGTTATACGATATTTTATTAGTAAACTAAGATCCAGAATTATGAGTACGAAGACCTATGACTACTTGTTCAAGCTTTTGTTGATAGGAGATAGCGGTAATATTACGAAAAATGTCAAAAAATTGTACACATTATCAGAAATGAATTTTCATCATTTTTTTTTGTTTCATATTACTGTACTTAAATTCACTTGTTAAGGAGTTGGAAAGACTTGCATCCTATTTCGGTTCTCAGAGAATAACTTTAACACAACATTCATCTCAACAATTGGTATGTATTAATCCTCATTTGATAAAAAGTATTTAAGTAGCTAATTTCCTGCATTAAATGCACTTAAAATTTATTAGCCTTTTGACTCGTCTTTTTCTCTCTCCTCTATTCCTCTAAGAATTTTATGTATTATTCATAATCTCCCATACGACCTCAATATTTCCATATTCTCTACTATTTACGAGTCATTTTATCATATTCTCGATTATGTTCGATACATTTAGGTGATCAAACTTTTTGCGTAAATATTGACTGTGAGTTTCTTTTCTTCCCAAAACATAGGAATCGATTTTAAAATCAGAACGATTGAGCTAGATGGAAAGAAGATTAAGCTTCAGATATGGTATGGCTAAAAGTACTCTAGATAACAAGTTGTATTAACATTTTCTCTCTCTCTCTCTATTTTTCATTTTATTAGGGATACGGGTAAGGCATAAATATATCTTTAATTTATTTTTTATTTTGAATACTCATTTAATGACTGGACATTAATTAATTGATCATAGCTGGACAGGAAAGATTTCGAACAATTACTACTGCGTACTACAGTAAGTCTACAATCATTCCTAAAAATATGAACTTTAATTAACTCAATTTTTTGATGTATTTTTCAGGAGGTAAGATAATATTTATGATTGCGAGATAAACAGGAATTAATCAATTTATTTTCCATCTTCTAAACTTGCGTTACTTAATTCAGGAGGTTTGTAAAATTTGGGCAATAAGATGTGAGCATCAATACTTACTTTATTATTAAATTCTAGCTATGGGAATTATGCTCGTCTACGATTGCACACAAGAGAAGTCGTTCGAGAACATTAAGAACTGGATTAGGAACATAGAGGAAAATGCAGCAACGGATGTTGAGAAAATGTTATTAGGGAATAAGTGTGAATTAAACGACAAGCGACAAGTTACAAAGGAACGTGGCGAACAATTAGCAGTAGAGTATGGAATTAAGTTTCTTGAGACATCTGCAAAAAATAGCATTAATGTAGAGGAAGCATTCTTCACGTTGGCTAGAGATATTAAAATTAAAATGGAAAAACGTTTGGTAAGTTATTATGGTATAAACATTAATTAATTTAAATGTCATGTGCTAAAATGATGCTTAATCATTTTAGGAAGCAAATAATCCGCCGAAAGGTCATCAGCTTAAAGCAAATGAACCACCGAGAAAGCCTGGTCTTGGATGGTTGTCAAAATGCAATTTTTTCTAGCCTCTCGTTCTTATACATTTCTACTATTAATACTTTACACAAAGATGTATTGACAAATTCTCAAAAAAAAAAAACATGATAAGAATATTGCAAATTTGTACACAAGTTCGTTTTCCAATTATCCATTAAAAAAATTATATTTATTATTTTATTTCCTCATTTTCTTTGTATATACCCCTTTTTTTAACAAGAAGAGAAGAAATGATGAAACGTTTTCGGTTCTTTTATCTTTTTCAATCTAGAGGTTTTTGTAAGAGCTAAAAAATAAAAGTTATATGATGAGATTTTGTAAGGATGTTTTATTACGATAATCATAAAAATGCTTAACATTGTTGTGCAAATAAATATCTGTCAATATAGCTCAAAATCAATTATAACTGTTCTTTTCAGTGTCTAATAATGTATACAAACAATTTCGTCAATATTTTAAAATGTATCGAGTTAACTACTTGGAAAGGTATTTCTTATTGTTCCTTTCCAAATGTCAACTACGCAATAAAAACAAATTAAAACTACTGAAGCTCCTCGGTCTTAATACAGTCATTCTGAACAAAAATAACTTCATATTTATATCGAGTATCCTCTGTATTTTCTTAAATGCTTTTGATTTTTATAGGAACGGCACTTTTTCAACTTATTATAAAGAGTTGAGGATCATTCATTAATAACGTCCCACAAATTACAATTAGAGCTAAAAATAGAGATTTCGAATATTATTAGGGGATGTACTACTGGACTTGAATTGTCAATGACTTTACATTAGAATATTTTTATTTAGAATACAAATATAATTTTTAAAATCACCCAGTTAATTATATATTAGATTTCTCTTAATTCATTATGTCCTTATGTATGCACGAAATTACCGTTTAAACATTTCGAATTAAAACATTTATCAATAATATTGAGGCATTCATTCATTAAATTCAAGAGAATATATTTTCATTTAAGTATATTTTTAATTGAATATTATGCTAGAAAAATATTAGTATAAGGATCCAGGGTTGGTTGTTAAAACATATTCTATTTTACAGAATATGTACACATATCCAACACATTTTGCATGTTCACGTGTACAATGTGTGGCAGAATTCATATGTTGGCAGATAACATATGTCACACATTGCATATGTGCACATATTTTATGTGTGATGTGTGCACATATTTGATGTGTGACATGAAAATGTGTGATGTGTGACACATGTGTAAACCTAAATATGTGTCACACATCACACATTTTCATATGTGACACAAAATAATGTGTCACACATCACACATTTTTATATGTGACACAAAATAATGTGTCACACATCAAATATGTGCACACATCACACATAAAATATGTGCACATATGCAATGTGTGACATATATTATCTGCCAACATATGAATTCTGCCACACATTGTACACGTGAACATATTTTTAAAAAAGGCCAGATTCTATTTTTAATCACCCTGTAAGGATCCGTAAAATGCTTTCATCTAAACACATAAAAATTCTAATCTGGGAATGAATCAAACGATAAAATTCATCTAGTCATAAGTTCATATATCCTGAATATGTGAAAAATTTTCAATTCCATTTTTCTGTCAACTAATCATTTAATCATTCATAAAAAATGAGATATTATGTTTTGCATAAAAAATGTAAATTATGTGATGCACAATGTAAATCGTTTTGCGTATTGATGTTTGTTTTGTAGTTCCGTTTAGCTTTATTAACTAGTATAAATAATCTCTTCTTCTTCTTCTTGGAACTTTGGTCTCAAATTCTATACCTACGAAAAGGTACTAATTTTTAAGCGATTCTTGGAGTTATGGAAATTGGCTTGTCTAAATATGAACATTTAAATGCATATCCGAGCAGCACACTAGCATAAAATTACTTTATGCAATCATTCAGTTCGGATTTCATAAGGCAATTTAATGAAGTGTCCAGCACAGAATAAATAGCAGAAAAATTACATTTAAATGTACTTTAAAATTGATTTGGAAGTGCTTTAAAACTGCTTAGGAATGGTAAAAAAGTAGATTTGTATGTTTTCAAGTACATAAAAGTTTGAAAGCTGAAAGTCGTTAATGACATGATATGCTAAGATTAATGTCAATTTTTAATAAATTAGTGCAACATTACACAATATTTAAAACTTTTTTTTGTTATGTATGATATTTATATTAATTATTAGGCAGGATAAAATATGTTTAAATAACATGGGAATGTATAAAAAATGTAATATGTACTTTATCTTTAATTTGTTGCATTTAAAATGTTAATTTTGTTAAATTGGATTTTTTTTTCATTCTCGAATAGGATTTTTTAAGTCAAATGGATTAAATTCATTGTATAAAATTTCTAAGAAAAAATCAATTGGTTGAGTCACATACATAATATAATTAATCTTTACATCATAAATTTTACGAAAAAGCTCTTTATTTTATGTTTATGTTATATTATGCAATTTAAAGCTTTATGTTTCTTCTTCTTTTTTTTTTCTTTAACTTTTAAAAAGTTCAAAATGCTTAAATTTGTCATCGGGAGTTAAATATTAGCTCCCTTACTTTGTGCAGTATGGGAAATTCCATGAAATTTTAAATTAAGTATGGGGCTGTTCACTTATTACGTAACGCGAAAAAATGACTTTTTAGACCCCCCCCCCTTGTAACAAAATTTGTATGAAAAAAAAATTTCCTTGTTTGAACCGTAACAAAATCTTAGACCCCCCCCCCCTAAAAGCGTTACGTAATAAGTGAATGGCCCCTATGCAAAATTATTTTTATCACTCCAGTTAACAATCACATAGAATTTGATGAATCGTAAAATGAGCGAACAGGTTAAAATTATTAGTCATGCCAACCTTTATTTTCATTTAATATCAACCTAGTACAAATCCCAAGAATTAAGCAAGAGTTTAGCTTTAAAAATTACTACTGATGGTATGACATGTCGACTAGACTTCAAATATTTAAGAGATTTTATGCCGACTTCATGCATTATATTTATTGTGATTCTATTTATGTCAGATTAATTTTAAAAAAAAAGTAGCTATACAATAAGTACTGAGTTCACAGAAAGTACATAAAACTATCGACATTTCGAGTTTATCAGCTTGAAAAACAAGGAACTAGCGTAAATAATTTTTGTTACAACTAATACATAATAAAAATAATATTTTTAAGAACGTGAAGCACGAAACGAAAACATGCATGCAAAACAAGAAAAATAAATAAATAATAAAACAGACTCATGGAATATCTCATACTTTAGATGTTTTAAAATTGGAGAAGTTTTTGGAAATGCTTCTCAGATAAACAAATCTTAGAGAGAGATAGAGAGAGGGAGTAGTAAAGAGAACTTTTAAAATTTTATAAATAGGAAATGCATAAATATTGAATGAAAAAGTACGGAATTAGAGAGATTATGAAAGGAATTAAATGGTATTTTGTGATGCTCGACAGTTAGGTTTGATTAAGCTCATTGGTAGATGATTTCGAATTGCATGGCGAAAATGTTTGATAATTTCCAGGCGCAGAGTTCGAGCGATTATTTTGAAATCTCTCTAGCTTTGATAGCCGCGATGCAATATTTTTTGCGACATTTGTTCCAGTTCCAATAGCTGATGAAAGGAAGGGATTTTGGAATGAATGGTTCTTTAACATTTTCTTGATCAAGATTAATGTATCAAGCTTAGGAATGCTTTTGAATACGGTGCTAATATCTTCTTCACTTATTTCAACAAGTTTTGTACAATCATCTTGACACGGCATTTCAAACTGTCCATTTTTGGTGATCCATTCGTGAGTCTGAAAATTGAGATTTGAATTAATTCATTGCCTTATTGGGGGTCTGTTTAATATCAATGAGAATGGTGTATTACCTTTAAAACTTCCAAACTGACCCTCTTTTCTGGATCTTTTTCAAGCATTACAATCAACAGGTTTTTTAGATCATCACTAATTGTGATTTTCGATGGAAAAGTTACATCGTTACTCTTAATCTGCTCATATAAAATTGGTACTGAAGTACTCTTCCAAGGAATGTCTCCAAAAACAAACGAATATAACGTAATTCCCAATGACCTTTTAAAATAAATGTTTATTCTTTACAACCTGTTGAATTTGTATATTTTAGTTTTTTTACCATATATCGGCTTTTTTGCCATCAAAATAAAGCTTTTGTCCTGATAAAGTTTCTGGGGCCCTAAATGCAGGCGTTCCACTTGCAGTTCTTTGATCGATTTGTGCGTCATCGCCCAGAAACTCATTACATACTCCGAGATCGGCGACTTTTACAACATCATCATTTGCAAGTAACAAATTTTGAGGCTTGATATCTCCATGTACAATATTGTTCATAAATAAGTATTCAATTCCTGTAAATTAATGGACCAATCAAATTAGCTTGGATCAATTCAGCACATGTGAGTAATGCTCACCTAAAATAACTTGACGAAATATAAACCATGCTCTCTCCTCGGTAAGAGGACTGGAAGTTGGAACGTTAAGTACTTCGCCTCGAGTTACCAATTCAAATACCATGTATAAAGCATCTTCAACAGGATCATCTAAAACATAAAGAAGAATGTTGTGTTTAATGTTTCATTAATGCACTTGTTATAAAGCATAAAAACATTAGTGCAACATGCAACTTGACTATGTAATGCAACATTTTTTTTTAAAAAAAAGCAGCAAGTTGTTGAAAAGTGTCACATTTAACAGTGATGCACACTTTTGAATTTTTAAGCGGTTTAATTTGAGAACAAGAAGAACTTACCCAAAACTTCAACAAGTTTAACAACATTAGGATGATCTAATTTCTTTAGTACGGCAATTTCCTTATACACTCTATCTAACGGAGTTTCTATATTAACACCTCTTTTAGGATGACCTCTATTAAAGCCAATACCAGCTTTTCGCAATAGTTTTTTCTTAGATAAAATTTTCATGGCATAATGCTGATCTTCTTCCTCATTATATGCCATTATCACAAAGCCATATGCACCCTATTTTAAAAGTAAAGTAAATTTAATGAAATATTTTCATAATGACTTGATGGGACACTTACAACACCAATTTGATCCATAAGCTTATATTGATTGAGTTGTAAAAAGCTACCATTTTTATCGATGGAGATTCGTCGGGATTCTTTTGCAGGTTTTCTGATGATTCGTGGACTTGAAAGTGGACTATAACTCAAATTAGGGAAAATTGGTCGTGCTTGACATGTTGCATTTATTTCATCTCGTGATGTCGTAGATTTAGGTTGCCTTGCACCCGACTCTTCCGTGACAAAATCTGTTAGTAATTCTTCATTAATTGACTCAAAACAATTTTGAGTGTCTAGATTTATATTGGCAATTGAAGTTTCATCAACAATATCTAACGACTGGGTTTTTGGCAGAAATTTACAGTACTTGGGTTTTGATTGATGACAATCATACACAACATCTAAGGATAAAGGAAACGCGCAATTTATAAATGAAGATTGTGTGAGAGAAAAAAACACAAACACAGTGGATATACATCACTAGATTAAAGATCACTTACCGTTTTTAAATGACATGTCCTTTTTTACTTCATCTCTATCTCTACTCGGTTTAACAGAATTATTCGTATCCATTATATTTGACATTTTTATTACATTGTAGAAATCACGTACAGTAAAATTTTCAAACAAGATGCTATCATGGTTGTCGAATTGATATTGATATTTATAGTCGATCTGTTGTGAGACATGAAGTGAAATGGAAATGAGGGAATGCAAATTAATGACAATAATAACAATATTTTTCTAGTCTCTCCTCTTATCAATTCACTTGTGCCAATAGTTTGCAAATAAAAAAATAAGATTTATAGGATGTAAAAAAAATTAACGTGTCACGACTCGCACCTATTGTTTAAACATTCGATTGAATTATCTTAAACTTAATTATGAAGTTCAAGAGCACAAAAGACAATTAATTAATCGCTTGTAACACGCTATAATAAACACTTTTTCCACTCAATATTTCAATAAGTGTGAGTAGAAAAAAAATTCAATCGAATTTCGTACAATTAAAGCACTAAAAAATTCCATCCTTCATAATCACAACATAAAGCTATTTCTCATGAATTAAATCAATAATGTTTCAATTTTTTGAAACTTTTCCAAAAAAAGAAAAATAGACAAGAAAAAAAATACAAATCAATAATTATTGAAATTTTAACTTTTTGTTTTAAACATTTTTTAAATTATTGGCATTCATTTAACAATTTTCTTCTGCAATCTGCATAAGATTGATGTTTTGTGGTACTAACTTTTTAAAAATTAACACTTTAAAATAATTAAAACATCTATATAAAAATTTATGAAAAAATCACAAACAATTTTAAAAATTGCTCCTTTAATCGCTAAAGTCTCGCTAAGTCGAATTATCCTGTGTTTGGCATTTGCTATGGAATGTTGGTGATTAAAATTTATACATGGCTCTAGTTATGCTGAATATTTAATCCTATATGATTGCTAATGTTTATGCATGAAAACATACATAATTTAACTCAGGACATTTTGCAGAATTTCGCATAAAGTTTGGTTCATAAGATATTTTGGAATAGCTGTTTCTCACGTATTGCGAACGAACGATCCTCTCTGCCGAACTATGTTTAGTTTCCGATCAAACTTCAAAGTATATGGATACCTTTTCTTACACAAATATTTAAAAGTTAAAAAGATCATTGAGAAAAGTGCATTATTGTGGATTATTTGTAAATAAATTAATAAGGAGATGAAATGTATTAAGTGTACAGTTGGAAATAGTTTATTGCTTGATAAAATATTAAAGAAATTCTAGGAGAGTGATTTAAGAATCCATGATTTTAAGAAAATAACAAATACAATGACAATGTGTCGTGAGATGATGGAATTTCATAAGTCTGAATTCTAAGTATTGGTATACAATTAAAGTGAATGAATGTGTAGGTTTCCCGTAAATTGGTGATCAAAAGAAAATTCAGAAGAAGAAATACATATGTATGCATGCATGTACAAAAAAATATACTGCTTCAAATATTTGAATGATCCATCCTCATTATGGTTCTTGATTCAATCTTTTTCATACAACATAAATTTTTTGATGAATTGAATTTTTTTAAAAACTTGAGAATCAATAAGAATACGATTGGAAAAATAAATCTGCTATTCAATGCAATAAAGTTGCATCAAAACATAATCGAGAGAGATTGAGAGACTCACATAAGTAAGTAAATAGAGTTATTTAAGTGAATGAATATGTGTACTTGAATCAACAAATGAGCATAGTTTAGAGCAAAAAAATCTTCAGTATTTTTTCTTGAATTGTCGCTAAAGTTTTTTTTTGCTGCTGTCTCAATTCCTACGCAATATTTCGTCTTATGAATTAAGTATTAAAATTCTTGTGAAGATAACGAAGAACATGTTTCTGTTAAAAAAACCGCCATAAATTCTTTTTATTGAATATTAATATTTTTTCGATACTTAATTGTTTCAACTAAGCGCATAAAGTGATTATTAGAATTTAATACACTTGATTTTTTTTTTCTTTTTCATTCTTGGACTTGATTGAGATTATTTGCTCGAAGAATATTGTGGAAAAAAAAATAATGTTAAGACTTGTATCAGAAATTATATTTCATTGAACTTTTTCATTTTATCTTCATCTACTCGTTCATATTGAATGAAAGACCCTCCGAGATTTATGTGTGGAATAACAAGAATAATAATCATCAGGTGTAACAAATGGAAATATTTTAAGAATTTCAATACAGTGAATTGTGAAATACTAATTTTTTATGTTCAATTATTATGTTGTTAATTTTATGCTAGGAACTAATTGTGCTGCAATTGTTCTAAAATTGGAACAATGCTTAACGATTTGGATTGTTTTAATGAATATGTAGATATATCGCTATTTTTTTTAAAGACTGAATCATAAATCTTTTAAAGATTCAAACATGCTTAAAGTTTGTTAAATTTTTCAAAATTCTCAAACGCATTTTTAAAATACATTGAATTTTATTCAACCATAAAATGTAATAATTGACTCAATTATTTGATGAATGCTTTATATCTCAATGTATCAGATCATTTCCTACATAAAATTAAACTGAAATGAATGAAAATACTTTTCTATTGTTCTAAGAATCGAAGAATTTTTGAAATACCTAATTTTAAATTTCCTGTATCCGCTTTAATCGACTTTTATTTCTCATGAGAAATTTCTTTCAATATTTTAAACAATAATTAGCTGTCATGTGGATGTAAAGACAAAATGCTTTTAATTATGTGTATTGCTTATGATGAATATTAGATTTTCTTTAAAAATAGGTTCATAGTAATTTGAATGCACAACTTACAAGTGGGCAATCTAATATACGTGTGTTTTATTTTAAGAATCATGGGGTCTTTTGAAGAATTTTAGAAGTTAAAATTATACAAACCTCGTTGATGTGTTTTTCTTTTTTTTCTGCTTCTTTTATATTTTTCCTTGCAACAAGAAAATTCAATTTGGGGAAAAATTTAAGAAATAAACTTTTATTAATAATTAATGTAAAAATTAATTGCTTACACTGCCTTTCGAGTAAACGTCAAAACGAAAAGTAGTTTTTGATGTAGATTAAAAATATATTTATTGACTTCACATGTCGACATTCTCCACAATAATGCAATATTATTCAAATTCTTCGACTTATTTTACTCTGTATTTGGATCAATTGATTTCCATAAAAGATGATTTGCACGAATGAAACGACATCCACATTTGTTGATTTAAGTGCCCACAATTAGCTTTTCAAATAGCATTTTTTTCCCCATCAAAGCTAATATTTAATTTTATTTATAATTTAATTTTCCATCAGATTATTCACAAAAATTAAAAGACTTAACGTAAGTTACGACTGCTTGTATTTTCAATCAAAACGATCGTTAATTTTCATTAATTCCTCTCTGCAGGAAATGCCAATTTTTAAGAAAAATCTATGGTCCATAATGAATTCACAGCGAAATTTAACTTTTATATTACTTCTACTACACTTGATGAGTAACATACACGCTTATAAATATGATGCTGAGACAAATTTAGGGACTTCCATAGTTAATAATCCAGAATCAACAGATGCACCCACAGGAGATGAAGTGCAACTTCAATGTGAATTAAATTTACCACCTGAGAAAGTTGAATTTCTGTTTCGACCTCAAAATAGTACGCCCAACGAGCGAGACATTTTAATAGATATTCATAAAATGGTATTTAATTTTTTTTTAAAAAAAATCATATTTTTGCCATTTTAAATCAATTCATTAAATTTCCATAACTTTATAGATGTCATACAACATAACAACAAGAGAAAGGCTCTCGAAATTGCATGTTTATGTGAATCAGAAAACGGTCGGTGATTATCGTTGTGTGGCATGGTTCGGTGCTTCTGCTCATGCATCAACTTCTGCACGCTTAAGAATTGCATCAATTTATTTGGATGATAAAGACACACATAAGCCACCTATTCATCTGAAAATTGCTCCGAAAAATAGTATAATTCTACGTTGTGGAAATGTTACGTCAGTTCCTGATCCAGTTTGGAGTTTTTACAAGTACATTCTTTTTCTTACATGTTTCCAACATGTCATGACAACAATTTATTTTCTTGCAGAGATGACGTTTTACTTCCAACATACAATCAAGTGCAAAGTAAATATGGGGGTTATATATTAAAAAATGTATCTGCAAATGACTCTGGAGTATATAGTTGCTCTGCAATGAACACAGTAGCAGGAATAGAAATTAAAATGCCCCAACGTTATGTTCTTCATGTGACGCCAACATCACGTAGTCCTCCCACATTTTCAATGGAACCGATAATGAGTTTTTCAGCAAAACTTGGAGAAAATGTATTACTTGAGTGTTCCGGAGGTGAGAAATGACATGATGTGGCCCTTATTAAACTATGATTTAATTTATTTATAATTTTTTTCTATTTTGTCTCTACAGTATCTAATCCAATTTTTAAAACAACATGGAGTAGGCCGCATGCATACTTAAATCTAAATGACCCAAGAGTAGCACAACTACCATATGGATTACAAATTAACAATGTGTCCGCTAAAGATGAAGGAATTTACATTTGTAGACTAGACAACGGCGAAAATCCAGTCAAGATTCATACCATATCATTATATGTCCTTCAGATGCCAAAAATTTTGAAAGGACCACGAACTTCTCTTACTAATGAAAGTGATTCATTGGAACTAGAGTGTCATGTTGCTAATGCTAAGCTCATTTACTGGATGATCAACGGGATCAATACACAATTTGATCCTCTTATTAAACATGATGAATTTAAAATTTTCATTTCATCTGTTGAAAAGAAGCATGCTGGAATAGTTCAGTGCTTTGGAAGAAATGAGCTAGGAGAAGTTAGTGAAGGTAAATAATTAACAAAATTAAACATGATGTAAAGTCTTTAAATAACATTTAATCTTTAAAGGAGCATTGCTTCAAGTCAAGCCAAAACAGATTGACAGTGAAGGAAAATTAATTCCTTTAGGAATGCCACACAAATCGAAATCGCGAAACAGCAATCGAATTTTTAATACAAAACGAAAGAACAGAGGACGTAAGTCTGAATTATTTTGATGCCAAAAAAAATGAGTGTACCTAATAAATTTTTTTTTTATTTTTCTGCTCTAATTAAAGCTAATCTGCCAAGTATTTCAAAACCAAACATCACGAGATTGAGTGATGAGTCTGTGATGGTTAAGTGGTCCGTATCTCAACAGATATCCTCAGCATCACTTCCAATTCAATTTTTTAAAGTTCAATACATTGCCATACCATATGATAATCAGAAAGGGAAGAATGAGGATTGGATTACTCTCTCGGAAGATATTTCTCCTCATTTGAGATCATATGAGATCCATAATTTGAAACCAGACAAATATAAATTTCGAATTTCAGCAGTATACTCTAATAATGATAATCGACAAAGTCCAATTAGGCGCTTTCATTTAAGGCGCATTAAGCAAAACAATAAATCAAGTCTTCCAATTCCTACAGAAATACACATAGAGCCTCTTTCTGAAACAGAAGTTAAAATTAAATGGTCAGTTCCTGAAAGCAGCTATCAAAATTTTGGCGGATTTTACATTAGTTATAGACCAACAACATCAGCTGATGATTACCTAGTAGTGTCATGTGAAGGTGCTCAAAAAAGACAATACACAATCCGATTTTTGGAACCTGGCATGATTTATGAATTCAAAATTCAGAGCTTCTCATCAATGGCAGCTTCAGAATTCAGTTCGATTATTACTGGACGGACACTAAGTAAGATTGACTTATTTTTGCATTCCAATCCAATTGTTGTATTAACATTTATACATTTTTAGAGCCTACATTACCTCCACGTGTAACCACAAGTCCGACAGTTAAATCAGTTTTGAAAGACAATAAGAATCAGTTTTCATTGCTGCCATTTGTCGTTGGAGCGATTGGCGGATGTGCACTTTTGTTCCTCTTATTTATACTTGGCTTCATAGCTTTGAAAAAGCGTCGTGACATTGTAAATCAGAGTGATGGTAAGATCAAGCATTTATGAATTTTAATTAAAGGATTAAAAATATTTAAAATTTGAATTAGAACAAGAAAGCAAAGGCAATCCAAATCACATCCAAGCAGATCCAATGGCTAATAACAGGAGACATCTAAATGGAATAATTCGTATTAATATCACTCCGAATCCATTATCAGAAGAGAAAGTATGTAGCCTATTTTATTTTAAAAAAAAATGCAAAAAATATTAACGAAAATTCATTTTTTTATCAATAAGAATGACATGAACGGTTTAGGTATTCCGATTTCACCTCATCAGCCATCTCCGATACAACAACTGCCACCATTAAGTGCCAAACGAAAGACTTTGGAGAGAAATATAAGAAATACACAATTATCAGGTGGCACGGAATCAACAAAAACGATGATTGAAGGTGAATTTAATGTCATTTTTAATGCCTCATTTATCTTATGTAAACATTCTCTTTTGAATAGGTGATCTTGGCATTCCAATTCGGCCGTCTTCAATAAAGCGCCAGACACATAACAGTTCTAGCAATAATAACAATAGTCCACGAATTAAAAGAAATCATGTACAGAGATCACCCTTACCACCAAGGACTAAACGGATGGGTGATATAGGACATTCAACAGCTAGTCTTAATAGTGTAAATAGTATAGAGGTGTAGGATTCATAGTTCCTTAGAATAGTGACATAAGTTAAAAGTACATAACATATTTACTCTCAATGTTGAGGGAAATGTAATTGAGAACAGAAATGACAAATTAATTTTCTCTGCAATCTTAGAAAAGCTTTTTTGGATAAATTGTGATGCCAAATTTCTTATGAAGTAACATTATATACTTAAAAAAATTTAATATAGTTTTGACTTTTAGGTAGGATAAAAATTAGGATTTTTTTAAAAAAAAATGAAATCAGAACTTCAGACTTAAAAAACTATACAACCCGAATATATAAAGAGAAAAGATATATTTTTATGCATAAATGTCCGTCCATCTTCAAATAGTTTTATTTTATGAATTTTACAATAATAGTATACATAAAAATTATGCATATTTACATAAGCGACTCAATATTATACTTTAGATTCAAATAACAATCAGGGTACTTGCCTTAGTAAACTGAACAAAAAAGACTGTACAAACTATAAACTTTAAATCTTTTAAAAACTAATAAATATTTTTTAAATACATTTAATACATTTTGTTGCGTTTTTTTTTTTGATTTTGGACTATAATTAATTATTGAGATATTTCTTATGGGATAGTAACTGGCAAGAAACGAGATGGATCACCCACTTTGGGATCAAAGCGTACAATAATTTTTTCGGGATCTTCACCAACTTCTAAGAATGTGTTCCAATCGAAAATCATGTAAAAACCACTCCTTCGTGGACTTGGTAATTGTTCAGGCTCATCGATTGGTTCAATTTCGTCGTCCAGGTTGTTCTTTTTCTCTTGCTCGGTAGTTGATGCTGGTTCGGGAGTTGTTGACGTTGTACTTGCTTTTGTAGTTGTAATTGGCTGTTGGGTGGTTTTTGGAGATGAATCGTCATCATCAGTTGCTTCCAAAGATGATTCCAAAAGAGGTTCATCTTTTCCATTGCTAAAACTTACTTTTGTAGGACTCGATTCTTGTCTTTTAACGCCATTCTTTGGTGATCCACTCTTTTTAAATTCTTTAACTGGATCCGGACCTACATTTTTACCGGCTGTTAAAGCTTCAAATTTTGGTTTTTGTATTCCCATATTATTTAAAACATCCGAAAATTCTGATGTCAAATATGCTGACTGAGGAACTGGCGCTGGAGATTTCTCTTTCTTTGATTTCGGAATTGACTGATTCGTTTCATTTAATAGTCCAAATGTATTGAGAAACTTTTCGATTTCTGCAGAGACATTTTTGTTATTGACTTCCAATTGTTTAAATGATGTATAACTTTCAGCATTCACCTTTGGAATTGACTTGAGTTTATTATCATTTTTCTGTCCTTTACTGAATAAAGATGACATTGGATAATCATTACTAGGCAAGACAGGCAGTGGATCAAGGCCAATATTTTTATCATCATTCAATAGACCATGACTTTTAAGAAGTAGTTTTAACTCATCCGGAATAACGGGCTCGACAATTGGATGCATTGTAGTTGCTTTTGATGCAGCAAGTTTATCAAGCTTGAGAAATTCATCGGCATGATATGGAAGCGCCAAAATTAAATTTTTCATAAACTCTTGCTTTTCTAAATCTCCATTCGATATGCTTTTCTTCAATTCCTCTTTGGTGACTTTTTCAAATAAATCTCTGATCTCACCTCTTAAAAAATATGATGTTAGTTCCGAAAAAATTATAATTTTATATAACATTTTTTTTAAAATAATTACTTTGTTAAACGAGGTAGAGCTGGGTCAGCAATAAGTAACTTTTCAACCTCATCTATTGTTGTTTGAACATCTAGCAGTGCCTTTACTCTTTGATCTTTACCTAATTCATTTATGTCATGAAGCGATAAATTCTGATGTAAATTATAAGCTTCAGTAATATTTCCAACAGGTAAACAGGTACACAGATGTGTACATAACATGAATAATATGAGTAATAACGTTCGTTTATTCATCGTGATGATGTTATGAGCTTTTTAAGAAAATATGAGAGAAACAGAATAGACAATTGAATTATTAAAAATTCTAATCCGAATAATTATTTATGCATATTATTAGGTATTGAGCATATACATGTAACAAATCAGTTAGCGTAGAGATAAAAAAATTAAAGTGTGTAATTATCGTTTTAAGGTCAACAACTTTAACCCACAATTTAAGCATGCGAGTGTGTATCAACTACCACTGCCTGCTCTTGAATTAAACCTTTTCACTTTTTACACTTGGTTTCTTTACTTTATAAGTTCGTATAAGTAAAATCCAATGATAAATTTAATAAAAATTTATTATGTCGAAATCTTCGTCGTAAAAAAATGCACAAATTTATATCAATTTTATGATGACACTTGCTAGTCCACCTATAGAGAGCTTATTTTAAGCAATCTCCTTCACATTGATTTTGCTTTCACTTTTATTTGACTCATATGAGTAAAGTCAATGCATAACTTTTGAAATTCACATTCGCAAAAGAAAGGCGTTTTTTTTTTTATTTACTTCCATTTAGCTATTGCCTCATTTTATCTCATTCTAGTATTCAATACAAGATTAAGTCACACTCTTTTATTAGATTAACTAATCCTATAATTAATAATTGAATTTAAAAAATTTTATACCATTTTTTACTTCGATTTAAACAGACAAACAACTGCGACTGAAGCTTAAACTTACGATGCGAATAGTGAGCGTTTCAGTAAAAAAAAGAAGTGGTAGAGGGGATTGTTGCTTTAAGTAAAAAAAAAACTTGAACTCTCTGTTGATCATAAAATGATTAATACCGGCTGAAAATATGCAAAAAATGTATCCAAAAAAAGAAATACAAGGAAATAAGTTCACGATCAAGACTGCGTCAAAAAAAAAAACAATACTTGCAATGTGACTAACATCTGTATTTGAATTTAAACGTATTCTGTGTACATAAGCATGCATGCATGTACGATAGAATTTTTTGAAAATTTGAAGGGTGCACCAGCGTGAAAATATACAATTTGTGAAATGAAGGAATTAAATCTAAACGCATGCGTACTGCTGTGTATCACAAAGATTTCTTCTAACATCACAGTCATAATTTTTTCCATTGAAAAATAAAATTTAGAAATTTCTCATGTTCATAAAATCATTTCATAGGAATAAGTTACAGTCATTTATTCATGAGTCTACATTATCACACCAAAAGTTGAAGATTAATCTTAAAGTGGAATTATTTGTGTAAAATTCAGTAAAATTATGAAAAGTGCTTGAAACTCATTGAATTCTGTTCTAAGCAACACCTACAAATTAACTATTCCATTTATATATTAATAATAAGGCTGCATTTATTTACAATACTGGAACTGCAACAATTAAAAATTCAATTCTATTTTGAATAGCCAAAAAAGTGTGAAGGGTTCAAGTCTGCAGTAATAGAAACCGGTAAATTATTTTTATTTTTTTTTATCTATCTACATATATATATATATTTTTTGATCATAGTGCATTTACGGAATGTGAAATGACTGAGATTTTACAATTTTCATAATGAAATGCAGTATGGCTTTCAACAGCTGTTTGTATTTTGATTTTTCTCTCTTTCATTTCACTTTCTTTTTTATCTATCTGTGAATCAGTTTACTACTGAACCGGCAGAATATTACTCTGAGCATTTTATATATTTTTTTTGATGTCTCATAGAGTATTACTGTTGTTACAAAATATTAGATTATATTCAATTACATCAGTTCTTAAGAATTAATGTGCGCAAAAATGTCCATGAAACCTTATTAATTTCGCTTTGGAAACGACAAGGAAAATTGATTTTTTTTAAAGTCTCGCAAAACATTAGACATTAATTTATTTTGTTTATGACTCCCATGCGAATTTGCAATTACACCTATGCATGGCTAATTAAAAAGTAGCACAGACTAGAATTAAGTTCTTTAGAATATTCTATTACTGTGCGAATACTGCACCTTAAAACTGTGTCAAAAAAGAGAAAACTGAAAGAACTTGCCAGGAAAGCATTCACAAGAAGTGAAAATTGAGTAATTTCAAATCGGGACGGCAATACATTTACGTGACCTTTCATCATGTTTCTTAATATGATGCGAAAGTTTTTGAAACTTCATATGAGTAGAATTAAGAAATCAACTCACGTCGTTAGCATAATTTCCTTAACAATTGGTCATTTGAAATTTTGAATTGAAAAAAATTAAATTAAGCTACTTAAGATGACAATCATGTCGTAAAAAGCACCATAATCAGGAAATAATGTGGTATTGCACTGAAACAGGTTGAAATTTCTATTCTCCTAACATTGAAACTTTTTGAAAAGTTTAAGCTCATATTTTTTTAAAAATTAGCATAACTATAAACACTTTAATTCTCTTGTTATTCACCTGATCTTTCAATTTTCCCCTCCGAAATGCCTAGTTGTTTTCTACTCATTTTTTACTCATTCGTGTGCTTCTTTTCATACAGTATGCAAGCATAAGTTGAAAGCTCTGTTGAAAAAAAATATAATTGTGAAATTTTAGTAAACCCGCAATGAATAAAATAAAGTGAAAGAAACAGGTTTTGAGAACTTCAAATACCATAATATTAAAAATATATTAATTAATCAGGAAGAAATTATCTAATATAAAAAAATTATAATTAAATGTTCAGTATTCCTCAATATTTTCATCATTCACGTAATAATAATAGTATGAGCGCAAATAAAAATATAAACATTTAAACTCAATCATCAACGTGAATCACATTATGTTAAATACATAAATAAAAAAAATTTTTCATTCATAAAAAGAAATAAAAAATTATCTCATCCAAAATGTGCACGATATATACGAGAAATCATTTCAATATATTAATGGATAAATTAAATTTAGTAAGTAATAGTGACCAAATATTTGCCATTTACTAAGATGATAAAAAATATGTTAAAGAATAAAATTGACTTCAGAGTTGGTGACTGTGATATAGTGTCTGATCTAGATATGTTATTGATGTTTCATTGACCTATAGATGTTTATTCCAAACAGAATTGACTTGAGCGTTAATCAGTTTCTGAGTAAAAGCTGCAGTCAGCTTTATGCTCATGTATGATGAACTTTATAAAGTGAATAATCAAATAGAATAGAACCCAAAAATGACGAATGAGCACAGCAATCGCTGTCATTTGTTAAGCGATTCTAAAAGCACTTTCTTAGCATACAATTGACACCAACTCTGACAACATGAGATGGAAATTAAGTGAAATAGAAAAGTGTAAATCGTTAACGCGATCAATGACTGTTTCCCATGTGATGGACATAAAAAATGTGACAATTTTAATGAAATTGAAAGTATTTATATGACACGCGTGCATTGTTTACAAAATTAGACCATTAGGCCAATATGTGCTTATATTCTGAATTTCTAAACGTTGCACATGTTTTTTTTTATAGTGAAAACAATTTAATTGAATGGTGCAATAATTAAGTAAAGAGAATTTGAAATCGAATTGAAATCAAGGTTTGGCTAATGAAAAGAAAACAGAATTAATTATTTCATGTACTTCTTTCATTTCGTACTAAATTTACGACATTTGTAACATTAAGAAAATAAAGCAGAATTCTGTGGTGTGTTATTTGACTTTATGGTAAATGCCAAAAGTAATTTCAACTTGCGAGACATTTTCATTATGATTTGACAATTTCATGAGCGAATTGAACTTATGCTCATTTATGTTTTTAAGTCAAGAAAAACATGGCCATTAAAAATATTATATTGCACAAGAAAATTAATGTGATAAAATTTTATGATTTCCATTCCATATTCACCTAGATTCTATAATTGATAACATTTAATAATGATGTGCTTCTAATTTATTTTACAGTCATTTCCTTCATGTCCCGTTCATTTTTCATTTCCACTCCAAAATTTACCAAAACTTTGCTCATCGTGGTTTAACGACCAATCTAGAGCAGAAAATCCAAATCATCTAGATATAACTCACTTACCAGAACAATCGATTTCGGGCACATCGAGAAGATATCAAAGAAAGATGCCGTTTCGAAGGAAAAATTGGTGCGGCTGTATTCAAGTGAGTATTCGTTTTTGATTCAATTAAAATTAATTGTGATATCAGTTGTTTGGGAATTTACCGTTTATGAAATACGAGTGTTGCTCATACATATTTGCATGAATACCATTTGTTATATAACAACGAGATGCATTGAGAGTCAAGATGTTTATGATTAATATCATAATCACTTGTTACGGCTTGTTTACTTGTTTTATGACTTTTTTTTTTTGGTAAATGTTGTAATTTTTGGGGTTTGTGATTCTTTGTCAAAGATGCCTTATTATATACGTAAAATATTAAGGTGTTAAAGTGCACGTATCGCATGTCTAGAGGAATTTATCTTGTTGGTTGATTATTCTTGTATCATTTTACATCATTAAAATGTCAAATACTTAAAAGGAAAGGGCATCTAGATTCATTGGAACCGATAGACTGAAAAACTATCAGCTTGTTATGCTAGATCCGATATTTGTATTAGAAAAAATCAATAGACAGGAATCAAGAAAGAGGTATCATTATGCGCAAACTGGATTGTGTGCCTAAAGCAAAAGTTATATAAGAACTAGTCATCAGTACATGAATATCGCATTTTTTCGCTAAGCCTAAAGATATAAAAGCTTTTTCAAGTTTTTCGATTGATTTACCTGAAAAAGATTTGTACAACACTTATTTATTCAAAAAAGGAAGATGTTATCGATGACAGTTGCCTTCATTTAAACAGTGTTGTCCAAACTTTTTTGAGCCACGGCTCACCTTAGGGGTAAGCAATTACCAAAGTCACACACAGCATACGGCTCGCGTCATTTACAAAAAAATTCTACTGCACAGTATTGTGCCGCGGCACACAGTTTAAACAACACTGATTTAAACCCAATGTCATGATATGCAAATATATTGCGCTGTATTAAAAGCACGACAATGTATTTCCTATTAATACCATCCAAAAAGAGTAATTAAATCGAATTAAAAATCAATAATATTGCTTTAATTAGAATAACAAATAAAAGATATTTATAAATTTGACACAGGCCATATAAATACCTGTTATTAATATTTTCAACAGTGTCTGTACTGGAGAAAGTTGATTAAAACGTGCGGGAATTCATTTTCTTCTTGTACAATATTTAGTGTATTCGATCAATTTTGTCAGTATTTCATATGATTTTTCTGCACTGCCTTTATTGAGAGAAAGTACATTTCTTTTTTATTTTATTTGTATCCATTTAAAATATCTTTAATGTTTATTTTTTGCGAATCTATATTTTTTGTTGACGCAGATGTAATTTTTCACTTTGTTATGCATAAGATTACATGTATGAATTAATGCTCAGATGATCAATCTGTGTTGTGTAATTTTGACTGTCTTGTTAAATAAAATAAAGTTAAATAATAGTAATTGCATTCTGTTCATTTATAGCTCAATAATGATCAAAAACCTGAGATATGTGTCGTCGAGGGTGTCCTATCTCTTGAAAATATTACACCAACACAGCCTATGCCGTCATCGGAGGAACTCGAAGAAAAGTTTATTGAGTTGGTTGAAGAATTAGATCTATCAGAGGCCAATAAAAAGCAAATGATGAGTTTACCAAGCGTGAAGAAATGGCAAATCTATTGCAGTCGAAAAATTCCCATTGAATCAGTTGAATCCCCTGATGGAATAACATCATCAATATCGAATGTAGAAAAAACACCATTGTTTTATGTGGAGAAGTTACGCGAGATTGCAATGCAATTGAAAATTTCAAGTGATGATTCTCCAAAACATAATGAGTTTCAAGTCAAAATTGAACAACACACAGTATTATGTGATGCTCTAAAAACTTCGTTACGAACATCAACGCATAGTTTTGTATTGAAATTTATAGAATGTCAAGGACTTCCATCCTTACTGAATGTCTTAGAAGCTATTACGAATGTTTTTACAATAGCCAACAGTACGTTGCACACTAGCATAATTGGGTGCATTAAAGCGTTAATGAATAATTCTGTAAGTAACAATTGTGAATTGTATTAAAATGAAGAATGGCTTTTAAATTTTTTTTTTGTCTTTTTCTCTCGTCACAGACTGGGCGCTCTATCGTTTTACAACATCCGACATCCATAGACATTATTGCAAGATCATTAGCTTGCGAAAACATCAAAACAAAAATTGCTGCTCTAGAAATATTGGGAGCCGTTTGTCTTGTACAAGGAGGTCACAAAAAAGTTCTCGATGCATTTACAAATTTTCAAGAATTTGCTTTTGAAAGAACTCGATTTCAAAGTCTCATAAATGATTTGGATCGATCAATTGGATCTTATCATGAAACTAATCTGAAATTAGCAATTATGTCGTTGATCAATGCTCTGGTCAATTACGGAGCAGGTGAAGACTATTTGGAATTCAGATTACATTTACGCTTTGAATTTATTATGCTCGGAATCGATAAGATAATTGAGAAATTGCGGAAATATGAAAATGAAACACTTGATCGACATTTGGATTTCTTTGACTTGGTTCGATCGGAAGATGAGAAAGAGCTTTCAAGGAAATTTAGTAATGAATCGATTGATGCAGAAAGTGCCATTGAAATGTTTGACTTATTAAAGAGAAAACTCAATTACTCTGCAGCATTTCCACACTTTTTATCATTATTACAACATATGCTACTTTTACCATTCTCAAATGCAAATACTCATTATTGGTTACTGTTTGATCGAATTGTTCAACAAATTGTTCTACAACAACAAAATGAGGCGAGACCGTCAAGTGAGATTGAAAACTTTTTTGAGAAGCATATGCCATCCGAAAACAGTATTAAACCAAAAATTTCGAATCCTGATGTAGCACCTTTAGAAATAGATGTTAGTAAAATTGTCAAATTGCTTGTTCGTGAAGAAGAATTGATAGAAGCTAGGAAGAAAGCTGAGGAATTAGAACGTGAAAATTTAGAATTCGTAGCAAAACTCTCGAAAAAGGAGCAAGAATTAGATTTGAGAATAGCAGAAAAAGAAGATTTGGAGACAAATTTGACAAGAATGCGCGAGCGATTAGAGAAAGAAAGCACACATCACTCACAAGCTGTTACTAGAGCCATAAACGCAGAAATGAAAATTGAAGATTTACAGCATAAATTAATAAATGAACAGCAGGAACGATTAAGACTTGAAAAACTTATGTCTGAGGGATCATTTCCTGATGATCAAAAAGCAGCAGGATTGCAAGGAAATAAGGATACATCTTCGCGTGAATCTACGGCTAAGGCTCCAGCACCCCCACCGATTCCTATGAATTGTGTACCACCCCCTCCGCCTGGTAAATTGCCACTATTAATTCTTTTGATCCTTATATTTACTAATAAGACTCATTTTTACCTTAACTTAGTTTGCCCACCTAAAGGACCACCAATGCCACCTCCAAAAATTGATTCACTTCCTAAGAAAAATATTCCACAGTCAGCACAACCACTGAAAAGTTTCAACTGGTCAAAAATGCCTGATATGAAAGTAACAAACACAATTTGGAGTGAACTGGATGAAACAAAATGGTATAATAGTATGGACTTGGAATCGATTGATAAAATGTTTTCAGCTTATCAAAAGAACGAGAAGAATGGAATGGCTGTGAGTATTCTGAATTTTTATCTTACATAAAAAAGTATTTTAAGATTTTGTGTTCAACAGGTTGATGGATCTAGTATGGAAGATTTGAGAGTGGTAGGGAAAAATAAGACTAAGATTCTGTCAGTAATTGATGGAAGACGAGCTCAGAACTGCACTATATTGTTGAGTAAACTGAAAATGACTGACGAAGAAATTTCTAGGTAAATAAAGCCGCTTAAAATAACTTTATGTCATCATTTTTCAACACTAATTTTCTTTATACAGAACCATTCTCTCAATGGACAGCCAGGATGAATTACCAATTGATATGGTTGAGCAACTTCTAAAGTTTACACCATCAACTGAAGAACGAGTTCTTTTGGATGAACATTCAGAAGATATTGATGCATTGGCTAGGGCTGATCGTTTTCTTTATGAGATTTCCAAGTATGGCTTTAGGTGACTGTAACTTTAAATAATTGTAACTAATTTATATCTACTTTTTAATAGAATTCATCATTATGAGCAAAGACTTAAAAGCCTTCACTATAAGAAACGTTTTAATGCAACATTGAATGACTTGTTTCCCCGAATTAATAATATAATGGAAGCATCACGTGAAGTATCAAGAAGCCGTCGTTTGAGAAAACTTTTGGAATTAGTTTTAGCATTAGGAAATTATATGAATAGAGGTGCCAGAGGAAATGCTTTTGGATTTCGTATTCAATCTTTAAATAAGCTAGCTGATACTAAAGCAAGCACCTCATCTAAGTCAAAGGGAACAACATTACTTCATTATCTAGTTCAAATTATTGAAGTAAAGCACAAAGATATACTTTTATTGGAAGAGGATCTTCCTCATATTAAAGAAGCAGCAAAAATCAATTTAGGAGAAATGGACAAAGATATTGGAAATTTGAGAACTGGCTTGAATGAAGTATCTCGTGAAATAGATTTTCATCGAAATACAGCAACAACTTCTCCAGAAGATAGATTCTTAGTAGTCATGCGTGATTTTTATGCACAAGCTTCTATTCGATTTGCTGAAATTGAAGATAAATTCCAAGATATGAAAACGAGGTTTGAGAAAAGGTTCATAGAATCATAAAGTCCTTTTTTTAAGTATTATTTTAATCAATAGATTCGATCGAGCAGTTCGTCTGTTTGGAGAGGATGGATCTGTTATTCAGCCTGAAGAGTTTTTCGGAATTTTTGATTCATTCCTTGGATCTTTTCAAGAGGCTCGAAATGAGAATGAGGCATATCGTAAAAAACTTGAGGAAGATGAAAAAAGACTAAAGCAAGAAGCAGAGGTAGAATACTTAAAAATTTTAGCATTTGAGCGAAGTGCATGGCTTTTTATGTTTAAATTCTAGATGAAGAAGCGCACTATTGAGAGAAAATCAAAAGAAGGATTTTTGAACTCCGTAGCCAAAAACTTAGGATTAAGACCAAAAGAGGAACCAAGCAAACAAGAAACACGAGAATTCGATGATCTTATTGAAACTTTGAGAACAGGTACATACAGCAATATTTAATTCAATATTCACTCTTAAATTTTTATGATCAACAGGTGATGTCTTTCATGGAAGTGAAAAGTACAAACGATCCAGGAAGAATAAAAATGGATCTTCACCGCCAAGAAATCATCGTTCCAATGGTGATAGCAATTCTCGTGAAAGAATTTTTTAATAAATTATTCATACTCAATGTATTTCGCTTGCTTTTATAGAATTCATTAATAAAGAATCATTATTACCATATTTTCATTTATCAGCTATAAATTTACATTTTAAGTTAATTTTGTCTTATAGCAACTTTAGGGTCCAATTGTTTAGACACATCAAGAAAGGAAGTCGCTTACACAGGATATAAACTAGTCATTCTTATTGAATAGCTGAATCTTATTAGACTTGAAATTCATTAAGAAATCAAAATTGGTGACTCGGTTTAAAACGTGGAAGTCATAACGGTAGATAAAAATTTGAATTTATATTGCGTAGCTTTTTACCCTCGATCGAAAAGCGCAATTTTTTATAAACAATAGAACGTTAAGGAAATATTTTTAAGAAAAAAGCTTGAAAATGGTAAATTAGAGTGGTTTATGCATTGAATAAGATTGTAATATAATTAATTTTCTTATTCTTTATCTAGAAAACAATAACGTTTTCAAAAACAGGAGAAAAACGTGAGATAAAATGTGATATAACTTTATTTTGTGACAGAATTCGTGCTATGCCTGACAAATTTGAAATTATCGTACTAAAAGTAAGTTTTAACTAATAAATTGAATACTTTTTATTTTTATGGTAAAGATAAGTGAGACACTAATTTTTCAATTTAAATCTTACATTAGGAAATAGAGAACAAGAGTTGTGCAATTTATAAGGATGATCAGATTTACAAATTAATTGATTTTTGTTCATTTAACACAAAGTTATACACAAAACAAGATAAACGTCCAAAGCTTTTAAAGCCATTGACTTTCTATGAACTACGTGATTCTGATATAATTTTTGTTGGAGAACATGAAATAGTATTTCACAGTGAGCCTGATGAGACTGAAAAACAATCCTTTTACATCCCAGAAACACAAGAAGTTGAACAAGATATCCAAATTCAAAATACAGTGTTCATTGATGATGATATCGAAATACCTGAGACACAAGAACTTACTCCAGAAATAGAGTTTGAAAAACCGATGAAAACCCAATTTATTGAGCCTGAAACGGCAAGAAGTCTCAAAATAGCAACCGAAAAAGTGCGAAATGAATATTTTGTTGAAACACAGCCAGTTACAAATGTTTTTCCTCCGTATACTAGACGATATGCAGCAAAACAAAATGAGATAAAACCAAAGACTGTTCCTTTGTCTGTTTTTGGCTGTGAAACACAAGCATTGAATGCAGAAACTCAAGCAATGTCATTCACGCAACTTATGAAAGATAATGATCCAAAGAAAGCCACGAGTAAACGTAAATCAGAGCCTCCAAAGGAGATCAAGAAAGAAACAATAAAAAATTCAGTATTATTATCAGATACTGAAAGCGACTCTGACGATGATCGAAGTAAAATAAGTGCTGCTAGTGTTAAGTATGCAGATCAAAGTCATCCAAATTATAACAATTCGTTAAGTCAATATTCTATCAATGACGATTTCTATATGGGAGATATACAATCAACAGAATTTGATTCACAATTTATGGAACAAGTCAACTCTAGTTGCAATATGGAAAACTCTAATCAAATTATAAACTCTGAAATTCCAGTTGTAAAAGAAGAAGTCATGAAGATATCCAATTCGAATCTCACCAAGGAAGATAATGAAGATGACATTAAGCCGGGTCCTCGTAAGCGAATTAAACTATTTAAGTTTGTATCAAGTGATGAAGAGTAGATGTACACTTTATTTCCTTAAATAAAATATGTATTATTTAAAAATCTTGAAGAGGTCAATAAACAGAGAAGTTACGTAAAGCACAACATATGTTGCACAAATATCTTCCGTGAGAACCAAATACATCTTTTTAAAGAAAAAAAAAAGAAATCATTTGCTTCCTTTAAAACACTGAGTAAGTTGAAGAATGTATAAAAGGAATTTGACATGTAAAGTAAAGAAACTGTAAAATCATTTTCCGGTATTTGTTTCATACTAGTGTCATGTTACAAGAAACCATAATATGAAAAGGAGATTTAAATTTTTTTAGAGTGGATGAATATTTTATCATTAACAATAATAGCTGTGTATCATTTATACAAGGAAACAAATTTTTTTGTAGCAAATGAACACAGGTGCATTAACAAAATATTCATCCATTTGCGTAATTAACATCAAGCGATGAGAGTAACCATTAAATATCTTTAGACTATTTTTCATGTTCTCTGATGTGATCTATGCTTCATTAGAAATAAAAATAATGATGAAGACATTAAAAATTCTTGTCACATTATTTTTATGATTTTATGGTGAAATTAATAAAGCTAATTGGATTTTAGTGGTATGAACGTATTTAAAGCTGATCAAATGGATATTTTTAAGGACATAATGCTTTAAAACTAGCTTATCGTAATTTAATTCAGAATCATATGCCTTTTGATGGAATATTTGATTAATATTGATAAGGAATACAGCAGCATTGTTAACTTTTCAGCCCTTTAACGTAATGAAGAAAAATTTAATCAAAAGTCTGGAAATGCATATCAAATGTCGAGTAGTATATTATTGTGATAATTTTAATATTTTTAACCCCCGGGAACATTTCAATCAGATTTTTTAATATTCTTGACAATGAGCGGACATGAATAAAATCATAGTAATTAATCCAAGGCTTTTCTATACATCCATGTGTATCAATTTCAAATTCATATTGCAATCTTATTTAGTTTTGATATATCAAAGATCATCTGTCACTCAAGTACTTCTCTTTTTTTTTGCTAAAAAATTCAAAGATTTTACTTGCATGTAAATTTCAAAAGGAATGTTTTAGTATTTTACAACAATGGTTACAATAGCATCCCTATTGGAAATAGAAGTTATTGTGATGCGTTATTATTATGATGATCAAAGGGTAAATAACAAAACCTCATCATCCCCTTCATCGCTTCTTCACAAATTAAAAAAATTATGGTACACGATTCATTTATTCAGTGGTTTTACTTTTACAAACTAAATCACCACCCTTACATTACATTCCGCAAAAACCACAGACTATGGAGATAAATATATCACTTTAAACAATAACTCTCATTTCACAAAGTTTTCCCTTAAAATCTGAAATTAAATTTGTAGCATCGTAATTGAAACATGAAATTTTTTTGGGTAAGACTTTGAAATCAATTCATATGACACACACAAACCATGTAAGGATGGTTAATTATAAGCTATAAATCAAAATATGTAAAAAAAAACTCCTACACAAGAACCTTTCTCAAACTCATGCATTTTCATAGTTTGTTTTTGTTTCAGATCCTTTCAATTTTTAATCACGAGCACATGTGTTGAATGCTAATCGTCTAATTAAATTATATGGTAAAATATAAAAAAAAATATGATCATGATATATGTTTCTAAATATTCATATAACCCTTTATGAGTAAGTTACTATGTTACATTAATTCCTTCAAAAGGTATTAGATTTTTTAATCCCGAACAAATTTCTTCTTATTTACTTTTTACTTCATAAAATTAGAATTTGAATATTAATTATTAAGAGATGTTACAAAGTTTGTATAAGATCTATTAAGCTCATTTTTTTCTCATGTATTTTAGCTGAACAAAATTCTGTCTTCGATCAAAATTTGTGGGTCCTCGACGTTTTAAAAGGATTTTTGCTTAACGGAAAAAAATTATTTGAATTTTTCACTAACACTATCATACAAAACATCAAAAATTAAATTCTCAAAATTCTTAATTATTAAATCATTAATCCCAAATATTATGATTTGAATACGAAAAGTAGATGGTGCATTAGCTGTTCTGAATATTTTAATAGCTTTTACATCATTATTGGGTGATATTTTCGTGACTTTTTAAATTTCATTTTCGATTTTGTTTGTAAACAAACAAATTACAACCGAAAAAATTAAAACCGTTAAAAAAATTTAACTTAATTTTGTCCATTTAGGTATGGGGCCATTCACTTATTACGTAACGCTTTTAGGGGGAGGGGGGGGGGTCTAAGATTTTGTTACGGTTCAAACAAGGAAATTTTTTTTTCATACAAATTTTGTTACGAGGGGGGGGGGGGGGTCTAAGAAGTCATTTTTTCGCGTTACGTAATAAGTGAACAGCCCCTATGTTAATGCAGCAATTTTAAATTTTTCATAAACTTAAAAAGAACAGAATTGAATTTTGGACCTTAAAAAATACATTTGGAGATATATCAATAAGCAATAATGAAGATAAAGCAAAATTCCCAAAAATTGTACGTGAGTGACGCTTAGTTAAAGTGATTTTTTTAAGCAACTATAAAGTTTCAAGAAGTGAATTGTACACCGATAGATGGGAATTTCAATTCTCTTTTCAAAAAAGTAGCTTTCAAATTTATCACTTTTAAGGATAAGGAGATAATCAAGAATAACAAAGCGTCACTAACGTACAATTTTTTTGTGACGAGGCCCTATACAACAATTATTGAATTACATTTATGATGATTTTAGGAATCTTTATATCTCTTGGAATTGGTGTTATTGAAAACATATTTTGCAATTTTTAAAGGATTAAAATAAAGGAACCATTATTTTACATTATCTAAGAATTATTGTGAGCTCAATGGTCAGTTTATCCCCTGATGATTTATTACTTATACTTTTGAAGATGATGATGATGATGTCCTTTTCTTCCACTGTGAAGTGTAGGGCGTTTACGAAACTTTTGAACCTAATGCGATTGCTAGCTAATGTCGCAAGCTCACTAAGTTGATAGCCCTGCTGAGCCCCTTCTTTGCGAATAGACGATTGCCAGGTAGCACTAGGTCTACCAGGTTTTCGCTTACCCTGCGGAGTTTTTCCTTAACGCGTGACTAATCCTGCCCCATTTCATTAAATTATTTTTTTTTCATTTATACTTTTGCGGGAAGATATTTAAAAAAACAAAGTTTTAAGGAAATTAATTTCAGAGAGACGAAAAATCATGCTGTTCTTAAAATGCTTGTGTGTCTATGATTTGGCTTTAACTCTTAAATTAGCTAAACTAATGTAAACAAATTTCTGATTCATTGACATAGCCTATGAAGTTTTAAAAACAAAATCTTACCGGCTTTATTTCGTGTGAGAGAAGTACAAATGGATAATGTCGAATGGACATCTGAAACTTTCCCAATATTTCGAGAGATACCGAGATGAAGTTAAAAATATTCGAGACCTCTTAGATTCTGAGATCTTAAGATGCCCAAACTCGTCTAATATCCATTTGTACTGCTGACAGGACTTTTTCAAAAATCATCCAAATTTTATAAATTATATATTAAAACATATCTCCTTTTTCCGAGAGAAATGGAGAGCAAAAAAATATTGCAATCAGACTTTTAGATTTTGAGATATAGCACTTTCAATTTTTTTAGACCAATGGATCTTACATATCAACTTTTCGAGAAAAGTGAAAAACTAGATTTTGACTAGACCTGTCCCAAGTTCATAATTGAAAATGTATTTCCTACTTGGTTCTTTGCTCAAAAAAATTTTAGGATGTTTTATTTGTATTTGTTTTAAGCACCAGAATATTTATGCAAAGTTTCAATTCATTTGGATAAACCCTCGAAAAAAAAGTGACAAAATTGATTTTGACTAGGGTCGCCCCTAGTCCAAAATTGAAAATGTATTTCCTTCTTGGTTCATTGCTCAAAAAAAATTTAGGATGTTTTATTTGTATTTGTTTTAAGCACTAGAATATTTATGCAAAGTTTCAATCCATTTGGATAAACCCTCGAAGAAAAAAGTGACAAAATTGATTTTGACTAGGGTCGCCCCTGGTCCAAAATTAAAAATGTATTTCCTACTTGGTTCTTTGCTCAAAAAAATTTTAGGATGTTTTATTTGCATTTGTTTTAAGCACTAGAATATTTATGCAAAGTTACAATCCATTTGGATAAACCCTCGAAGAAAAAAGTGACAAAATTGATTTTGACTAGGGTCACCCCTAGTCCAAAATTGAAAATGTATTTCCTACTTGGTTCTTTGCTCAAAAAAATTTTAGGATGTTTTATTTGTATTTGTTTTAAGCACTAGAATATTTATGCAAAGTTTCAATCCAATTGTATAAACCCTCGAAGAAAAAAGTGACAAAATTGATTTTGACTAGGGTCGCCCCTAGTCCAAAATTGAAAATGTATTTCCTACTTGGTTCTTTGCTCAAAAACATTTTAGGATGTTTTATTTGTATTTGTTTTAAATATTAAAATATATATGCAAAGTTTCAATACATTTGTATAAACCCTCCAAAAAAAAAGTGACAAAATTGATTTTGACTAGGGTCGCCCCAAGTCCAAAATTGAAAATGTATTTTCTACTTGGTTCTTTGCTCAAAAAAATTTTGAGATGTTTTATTTGTATTTGTTTTAAGCACTAGAATATTTATGCAAAGTTTCAATCCATTTGGATGAACCCTCGAAGAAAAAAGTGAGAAAATTGATTTTGACTAGGGTCACCCCTAGTCCAAAATTGAAAATGTATTTCCTACTTGGTTCTTTGCTCAAAAACATTTTAGGATGTTTTATTTGTATTTGTTTTAAGCACTAGAATATTTATGCAAAGTTTTAATCCAATTGTATAAACCCTCGAAGAAAAAAGTGACAAAATTGATTTTGACTAGGGTCGCCCCTAGTCCAAAATTGAAAATGTATTTCCTATTTGGTTCTTTGCTCAAAAACATTTTAGGATGTTTTATTTGTATTTGTTTTAAACACTAAAATATATATGCAAAGTTTCAATCCATTTGTATAAACCCTCCAAGAAAAAAGTGACAAAATTGATTTTGACTAGGGTCGCCCCTAGTCCAAAATTGAAAATGTATTTCCTACTTGGTTCTTTTCTCAAAAAAATTTTAGTATGTTTTATTTGTATTTGTTTTAAATATTAGAATATTTATGCAAAGTTTCAATCCATTTGTATAAACCCTCCAAGAAAAAAGTGACAAAATTGATTTTGACTAGGGTCGCCCCTAGTCCAAAATTGAAAATGTATTGTCTACTTGGTTCTTTGCTCAAAAAAATTTTAGGATGTTTTATTTGTATTTGTTTTAAACACTAAAATATATATGCAAAGTTTCAATCCATTTGTATAAACCCTCCAAGAAAAAAGTGACAAAATTGATTTTGACTAGGGTCGCCCCTAGTCCAAAATTGAAAATGTATTTCCTACTTGGTTCTTTGCTCAAAAAAATTTTAGGATGTTTTATTTGTATTTGTTTTAAACACTAAAATATATATGCAAAGTTTCAATCCATTTGGATAAACCCTCGAAGAAAAAAGTGACAAAATTGATTTTGACTAGGGTCGCCCCTAGTCCAAAATTGAAAATGTATTTCCTATTTGGTTCTTTGCTCAAAAACATTTTAGGATGTTTTATTTGTATTTGTTTTAAACACTAAAATATATATGCAAAGTTTCAATCCATTTGTATAAACCCTCCAAGAAAAAAGTGACAAAATTGATTTTGACTAGGGTCGCCCCTAGTCCAAAATTGAAAATGTATTTCCTACTTGGTTCTTTTCTCAAAAAAATTTTAGTATGTTTTATTTGTATTTGTTTTAAATATTAGAATATTTATGCAAAGTTTCAATCCATTTGTATAAACCCTCCAAGAAAAAAGTGACAAAATTGATTTTGACTAGGGTCGCCCCTAGTCCAAAATTGAAAATGTATTGTCTACTTGGTTCTTTGCTCAAAAAAATTTTAGGATGTTTTATTTGTATTTGTTTTAAACACTAAAATATATATGCAAAGTTTCAATCCATTTGTATAAACCCTCCAAGAAAAAAGTGACAAAATTGATTTTGACTAGGGTCGCCCCTAGTCCAAAATTGAAAATGTATTTCCTACTTGGTTCTTTGCTCAAAAAAATTTTAGGATGT